CTATCCTCGATTACAAATCAGAATGCAGATGCGTGTCACCCGTGAGGACTAAGATGGAACGCCTTGTTTCCAGTAAAAAGGCTCTCCGGTTCTCTCCACTCACCATACGAAACACAGAAGGATTAAGCTATTATTTCACGCTGGTATTCGGTGAGAGCGTGGTCCTTCCCCGGTCGAGCCGGACTATTCGTGCTCAACTATACTACTAATATAACTGCAGCATGGCTCTACCACGTATAAAAAATGTTTTAATGAACTAGTACATGATGCACAATGAAGTGCAGAATCGGACTTTAATTGTGGCATATTTTTGTATAATGCATAAGAAGTGGGTTCTTTAAAAATATACATAAATAAAAAAAATTATTTCAGGAAGAGATATATTTATTTTAAATTTTATAATTTCGTAGCTATTATTTGTGTTAAAGGAAATATGTTAACTTTTGGAGAAATAATGTTGTTGGTTATTGGAAATGTAACATAACCGCTGCGCACCTCGCGGCGCCTCTGTCACTCGACACATATTATGGTGCATTGGGTATTGTTTACAAAAACGTTATTTATAACTCTACATCAGCGGGAGTGACCCTTGAGTGGTTTTATGGTTTTTAAAGAAATAAATTAATCTTTATTTCGGTACAAGTGCTGTTAAAGTTTGTTTGCTCAAATAAAGTAATTAATTTTTCAATAAATATGGCACTTACGACCAAAATTATGATACCGGCATTAAGAGTACATATAAAATACTTTATGAGATTTCTAAAACTTAGCAAGACCTATTGAAAGATGACTGAATCATGTAAAGAAAAAGAGAGGTTCAAGACTGAATCATTATAATGAAATAAAAAAAAATATTTTTATTGACTAAAGCATTACGCCGCATTATGCCGCATCTGGTCCGAACTACATTCTACATCGGTGTAAGTGGATTGTGGGTTCTTGTAAGCTTATTATTAATGCGTTTTATGATAAAAAATTGTATTGTAGCCTATGATTATGCACATAAAATATTGTAAACAGTAGATGTAAGATTAAAATAAAATAAAATTGAACTATTAAAAAACTTTGTGTCATTGAGAAATATGATAGTTTTGACTTTATTCAATATTTAGTTATACTAATTACTTTAAAACTTTATTAAATATATGTACTCGTTTATAGGAAATTTTATAGAAAATTCAGAAATGTATACATATTGTAGTATTCGATATACCAAAATCAAGATATTTGAGTTTAACCGATTGGGCCCAATCAGCCGTCCATTTTATTAAACAGTTACACAGTCAACGGAGTATTACGGCTAGAGCCTCCGCAGCTGAAAGGTTACACGGGCGTTAAAGTCTTATCTAGTCGACGCGTGTTATCTCGTTTGATTGCAAGTTACCTTCACGAAAAAAAATATTACTGACAGCGTGTTCAATTTAACGACGTAATACGGCACGTAGCGCATTGTGTTCATCTTCCAGCGTTGTACATTCTTTGTGATTAATCTAATATTAATTATAGTGATTCAAGATGGCAGTTAGTGGAAATGAAATTAAACTTAAAACTCTTTACGCCAAGAGGGACGTACTCTTTTCACGTATACAATATATAAGTGATCACATAAAAAATATTAACGTAGATTCAGTGCGGGAAACGTTTTTATGTGAAATCGAAACGGTGGACTCTTTGCGATCGGATTACGAAAATATATTATACAAAATTAATAGTTTAGAATTACAAATCGACCCTAAGTATTCAGTGAACTATCAACCACTTCTATCATTTGAAGATATGTTGTGTCGTAGTCCTTTTTGGACGGCAAATCTCTTACAGTCTCCAGCCCAAAGCGAAGCAAAAACAGAAATCCAGGTACGCCCACGTGAATCATTTAGATTGCCCCCCATAGATATTCCGGTATTCAATGGAGATATTAAAACTTGGCCGTTGTTCATTAATAGCTTTCAAAACACCATACGTAATAATCCATCGTTATCGGACGCTGAAAGATTGTATTATTTAATTAGTAAATTGATTGGTAGGCCACGGTCCATTTGTTCGGGTTTCACACCAACAGCAAACAATTGTTCGTTAATATTCGAAACGCTTAAAACAAATATGAAGATAAGCGAATGTTAGGGTCTGCATATTTAGACCAGATATTCGATCTTAAAGCTATATCATCCGCGAACATCACTGGCTTAGAGCAGTTTTTAGATAAATTTGTAGCATCGGTGACTGCACTCAAGAACCTGAAATTTAATGACCTTATGGACGTGGTGTTTCTCCATATCGCCTTAAAGAAACTAGACTCGGACACCGTGCGCGCATTTGAAATGGAGCATCGTAGCTCTGAGTTACCGTCATTCGACTCCTTAGCATCCTTTGTACGAGATCAAATTAAAGTGATACAGCGTTCCTCGAATGTCAAACAAGAAGTTAAGAAATGTGTCGACCGCAGACAGTCAACTAGGACCGCTGGATCGCTGATATACGTAACTGCTGCGCCTACATCGTCTCATAGCGCCTGTGTTCTATGTAAGAATAAACAACACGGTAATTTGTGTAATTGTGGGACCTTCCGTAAACATTCACCAAGCGAACGTTATGGAATAGTAAAGACGAACAACTTATGTTTAAATTGCCTAAGCGATAGACATTTAGTTGCTAAATGTAATTCTAGTTCCGTGTGTAACAAGTGCGCCAGCAGAAATCACACGTTATTACATTTCGAAGGTGGCAACATATTCGCGTCGAATAATTCGGACAAGGAAACTACACATACTAAAGTCGACGCCTCTAACGGTCGACCGGGTGACGTCGCCATGTGCTCACTGTCGAATACGGGAACGCAGTCTCCTTCCACCGTGCTGCTGGGTACAGCCCGTATCGTAGTTAGGGATTCGCGTGGAAACGAACACAGTGTCCGTACGTTGCTAGACTGCGGATCCCAGAGTAGCTTTATAACGTGACGATGTTGCCAGCGTTTAGGATTGCTAATAAATAAGACACCTTCATGTCCCGTAGTCAAAGGCATCGGCGGTACTAATAAAATTACCCTGGGCTCTATAAATTTGAAATTTTATTCTCGGCTAGATCGTAGTATTAACTTTAATATAAATGCTTTAGTAGTAGATAAAGTCACCGAGCGTCTGCCAACCGTTTCGGTCGACACCTCGGCAATGATTGATTTTGAGAATTTGACTCTGGCAGACGATAATTACGCCGTCATCGGATATATAGATGTACGCTTTTCCCTCATTTATTGTTACAAAATAAGGTCAGGGGCAACCCCTCGCATACCGCGCCTTACTCATCTACCAAACTATAGTGCCACACACGGCGGCAGCCTGCAGAATGCAACCGCGTCGTTAATGTGACTGGTACCACACTCCGGACAAGAGAATGGTCCGACGAGCCTAGAGGAGCGTCAACGGAAACCTGATATCCGTCCGGATGGGAGGTCAGCAGAAGGTCCAATAGGGAAGGTGTTTGATCTTTCATATCTAGAATCCAAGTAGGCAACGTAACCAGTTGCGTCAGACCATATGCCAAAGCAAAGTCTTAAACAAATCTCCCCGCATGATCGGTTAAATGTGAATCGAGCCATTCGGGATCACGATCAAGGATCACGATCTCTGCGAATTGGATGTGCTTTAGCAGGGAGTCTATAGCCACTTGGACGTGGTCGATGAGTCGGTATTACCGCTATGGGACCTATAGAGGCACCCGTAGACGCGGGATGGTCGTCGCTGTATACGCACAGCCATAGGATAGACAGGTTCGTACCTTCAAGACTGCCGAGGCGTCGTAAACAGATGTCCTCTCTGAATATGCGGGGCAGCCTGAACACTCGCGCTTAGGAAGCGTAGAATAACTTGGTCGTGGATGCTCAGCGAGGAACTCTCCGTCACCAGGGGTGCTGGTACCCTCCTGGAGTAGTTCTTCACTTGATTCCGCTACTATGTTAAGGGTGGGGTGGGGGTAATTGGACCTCCAGCCACCTGCATTCACCAAATGAAACACAAAGATAAATCTCTACTTCACGCTGGTATTCTGTGAGGTAGTGGCACTACCCCAGTATGACCCGGCCCATCTTTGCGACAGCAAAAGCTGCTGCGTGGCTCTAACTCTGTTAAAGTTTTTCTTTTACTCTTTCACTCTTCTTCCCTTGATATTCCACCTCGTCTGCTTCGGAAGGGAGAGAAGACACCCCTCTCATCGGAGTTCACCAACATACTTACGCTCCTCCTTAATGGGCTCGCCAAGCCGGGCATCTCGGGCCTTAACAACACCTCGCGACAGCTAAGTGGGTTCACTGTGTCTCTGTTCACCATAGGTGACCAAGCCATGGCTACTAAACGCTCCCGCCAGGAAAAGCCAGGAACCCGTTTGGGGGGCATTTATATTTTGCCTAGGGCTGTCAAAACTGTAAATCTGGAACTTTACCACCGGTGTAGTGTACCTGTTTTATCGTTTAAATAATTGCTCAACGTGGATTTTTTTTTCTTCAAGTAAAGATGATGCAATTTCGTGCAATAAGTTTCTGCGCATTTGAACTATTAGTGGAAACGATGAAACAAGTGTTGCGATATTGTTTTATTTTGTGATTACGATTTTTAGATACTATCATCATCGATTGTCTGCGAGGTCACTACATCGAATGTGTTCACAATTTGACGCATCTGCATAAATTTAGAAGATGTACAAATTATTTTACAGGATACAGGATAATTTCTTAATACTTCACACTGGTAAAAGTATAGTCGTACGGGTCCTTAAACAACGAAAAAAAATCAGAAGTTACTATCAATATCAAACGTCAATGTCAGTCTTTGATGGTCTTTGATGATGTAATGAGAAAAAAGGAGCAACCAAAAGAAACCATTGTCAGTGTGTTGTGGTGCATAGATAAATAAATATGTAGCAAGCTATTGTGGTTTGTTGATTGTGTGATAATATTTGCGTGTGTTTAAAATAAGTTATATTTATGTTTACCGTTTTTTGAATCACTGAAAATGGATGAGGTTGCGAAATTAGAACATCTGTCTTTAGTATCTAAAATATGCACAGAATTAGACAATCACTTGGGATTAAATGATAAAGATCTAGGTGAGTACTATTTATTTCTCTTTTTTTTTTGAAAAACTTTACCTCTACACATAGATTTTCTCCTGTATAGTGGGTACAGTTTACATACATAAATTTCACAAGGATAAACACAAATACAAATACAAATACTTTATAACTAGAACTACTCATTTATAATACCCATATATTACCAGTTAGCTCATTTGGTCTGGTAGATCTGGTTTCAAATTCTTAGCAACTTAATCATAATTTATAAATAAATTACACCGATTAAAAGTAAACACTACCCTTTTACTACTAGGTCCATCTTTAGAAAGTTGAAGAAAAAAGATTACTTACAATATGTTGGACCTACTATCTAGTTAGTACCCCTACAATTTCTTTTTCTCCTAAGTAAGTACCATATTTTACCTGTACTTGCTGCTTAGCTGCAGTGCAGCTAATTGTGTGGTGCAGTTAAAGGATAAGGAAGCATATTATAATTACAGTCCAGGATATTTTATTTGAATCCATAAGGGTGACAATACACCTACCTTATTTATTGAATTTTGAACTTAGAACTAAATATATGGTTAGCCTAACCTTCTAGTTAGTTTTATGGCATAACTATAATCCTATACCTTTAAACGAGCAATTCTTGTATATATATATAATCGGAATCTCGGAAACAGCTCCAATGATTTTCATAAAATTTTGTGTCCAGGGAGTTTCGGGGGCAATAAATCGATTTAGCTAGGATTTATTTTTAGAGAATATAAGAAGGTAAATTTTGACACTGTGTTAATGATGGTAATAGCTTTAGTGGATATCTAGCGGTCGCGAAATCATAATGCCTTGGTTCGGGTCCTGGATTTTTTCCCCTTTTTTTTCAAGTTAGCTTTTTTGTGAGAAAATCTATTATTTCGAGCCCTTTTTTTAGTATTTTTTAAAAATACGAAAATTTTAATTAAATTAATTGCACTCATGATTTTTTATTCAAATAACCAGTTCAGTTTTTTCTATTATGTCAATAAGATCAAAAAATATTATTCATCAGCATGTAATTTGTATCTAAATGTAATTTCAAAAAAAAACTGAGTATAACTCGGTCATCCGGGTACTGCTTTTTAAATTGCTTGTTACCCGTGATACTTACAAAGTGGTTGATGTAAGTTTACACTTGGTGTGGTTGACATAACAACAAAAATAAGCTAATAAGTAAACAAATAGAAGATGAAAATTAGGATGTGCATATTGGTAGCAAAGAAGCGAACCATACTGATACGACTATATTATGAACAAGGAGTTGTCTCGCATTGCATTGAGGTGCAAACTTAACTCAACCGACTAGTAGATGGTGTTTATCAAGTGACTAATCTAGTAATAACTTCAGAGTTTCTAAAACAATATTTGATTATTTAACTGCATGTCATTGTACCCTGTACAATATTAAATTGATATATTCTGTCTCTGTTAAACATAATTTTACCACTATATTGTATAAGTGGTAATATACACAATATGTGTTTTATTATAGTGTGCTTAGGTATGTATTGGTCTCTCAGAACACACTTCTAACCCCTTCGAGTGTTACTCATTTATTCTCTTTGCTACCATACACATCCAAATTATACAACGTGTCCCAAAATTCAACGATAAGCCAACACCGGAGGATAGACCTGCCCCGGACTAATCGGTGAAAAAAAGAAAAAAAAATATATCCCAATTATATTTTAAGTTATATAAAAAAAATGAAATTCTTCAGAAATTGAGACCGTTTATGATATTTTTCACTACCATGACCACAATTTTTTTTATATTTTTTCTTTTTTTTTATAGGCATTCTGAATAGTACTGCTATCTATCACAATTCTTAAAAACTCCAGAATAACTCTTGTTTTATCACGAAAATTAATGAAACTTATTTTATTCCCTAAATTTTTTGAAGACTTTTACTGTTAACCAAATTTTAGCTTATCGTGGTGTAAAAAAAAAGTATGAACACTAGTATGGCAAGTTTTTTTAAAAATTGACGCAACTAACCAACATTCCAAAATGGTATAATACTCTAGGAAAACAAGTTATAAAAAAATATGGGCCTATTATTTCTTAACTTTTCGGGATTCCTGTAGCTTCTTCTATGGCATGTACCGAAGTAGTCGAGTCATTTTCTATCTCATTGAGAACTTCTTCATCACGATCCAATCTAGGTCTTCCAGCGCTTCTATTGAATGGCATACGACCCTCCGAAAACGCTTGATGCACATTAATAAACACTCGATAATCAGGATATATTTGAGCATTTGGGTATCTTTCTCGATACAGTCTGCTAGCAGCGTTAGCATTACATCGGCATTCTCCATAGATTAAATACATATTAGCGTATTCCTGTGGTGTGTACGGTTGCAGCATGTTAAACGCCAAACAGTCCAAAATGCGCCAGAACTCTAAATCTCAAAACACACAATCGTAGTCCAAGATAATGCCAGGTCAGTTCAGTTTGCAGATCACTTCCAGTCCAAATAATGCCAGATCAGTTAAGTTTGCAGGTCGATTCCAGTCCAAAAAGCCAAGGCAAAAGTCGATAGTATGTACGAGAGCCACGTAAGTTGAATTTGGGAACAGTGCGCAGTAAACAAAGGAGCAGAGCGTACTGAACTGACTTGCTGAGAGTAATAACAGCGTAAATATCTCTATCTATCTATCTCTCTCTAACATCTAAGGTATTAATGCCCCATTCAAATTCCTAGAAATTGTAACAAGAACCCATTTTGGGCATGTAGTAAAAGTGATTACTGACAATTATAATTTAAGGAATTTGGTCCCTGTTTAGAAATAATAGGCCCATATTTTTTTATAACTTGTTTTCCTAGAGTATTATACCATTTTGGAATGTTGGTTAGTTGCGTCAATTTTTAAAAAAACTTGCCATACTAGTGTTCATACTTTTTTTTTACACCACAATAAGTTAAATTTGGTTAAACGTAAAAGTCTTCAAAAAATTTAGGGAATAAAATAAGTTTCATTAATTTTCGTGATAAAACAAGAGTTATTCTGGAGTTTTTAAGAATTGTGGTAGATAGCAGTACTATTCAGGTTGCCTATAAAAAAAAAAAAGTATTAAAAAAATTGTGCTCATGGTAGTGAAAAATATCATAAACGGTCTCAATTTCTGAAGATTTTTTTTTATATAACTTAAAATATAATTGGGATATGTTTTTTTTTTCTTTTTTTCCCCAGTTAGTCCGGGGCAGGTCTATCCTCCGGTTTTGGCTTATCGTTGAATTTTGGGACACGTTGTATAATTTGGATGTGTATGGTAGCAAAGAGAATAATTTTGGGACACTTTGTATAATCATTTGGTACAGTATTGCTACAAAATTGTATTTTGATAATTTAGTAGCTTGACCTTTCAGTCCTCAAGTGGTTGAATCCCACCACGGCGCTATTCCATCAAAATTCAAGCGGTCGGATGTGACCGCACATACCCACAGCACTATACCATTAAAACATATTTAGAGACTACTTTTCTATAAAGAAGTTTGGCATTATAGAATCAGTATGAAATTTTCTATCCTCTAGTGCAATAAAAAGTCAAGTTATCCTATGGATATTTTTTTATATTCTATGTTCATTTCGTACGCCATTTTCGTGTGTTGATTTTTGGATTTTTCTAGTGTTTTATTATAAAATTGTAATGAAAGTTTTTGTGTGAATGTAATTTATCTTTTTACGTAAATAATTTCGAGTAATATATATTGAAATAATTGTAATTTTCATGCTGCCGACATTCGCTTGGTATGTTTTGTTTTTGTTATCAAAATACAATAGTCTTTTTGTAATGATGTAAAAGCTGACTTTTATATAGAGAATTTTGTATAGATCTTATAATGCCAAACTTCTTCATAGAAAAGTAGTCTCTAAATATAAGTTTTAATGGTTTTAAGTGCTGCGGGTGGGTGCGGTCGCACGCGACCGCCCGGGATTTGCCGAGCGCATGCAACTGCATGGGATTTTTATTGGGATTGAGGGGTTAATAATACTTAGCTTTGGTTAATAATACTGTTACAAGCTTAGGGTTCGTGACAATAAAAACTGCCGATTGAATTACCAAAATTGACACTTTAATTGCCGAACACCAATTAGAACTTAAAACACACTAGTAATTAATTACACTGAACACTTTATTTCACTTTCGCCAATTGAATACTACTCCGGTCGCGGCTGCAGTGGCGAAGCCTCCATAGAAGCCCAGAAGCCGGGCTTGCTCTATAAAAATGCTCAATTAATAAAATCAAAAATAACTCGTAAAGTGTTTCAAACTATTTCAAAGGGCATGAACTCGTAGCATATAATATGTAACATCAACACTTGGCTGTTGGCTTTCAATTCGAAATACACTGGACTGTCAAAATTAATTAAAGCAAGGAGTTGATTTTGTCATCTCTCTCGCACGCGTTGTCTTTTTACCGGGCTTTCGAGAAGACGATCGCTCCCTTTCTAACCTGTGGCAAAATGTTCTATTTTGAAATATAACTACGAAATGTTTATATAGCATTTACTATGGAACGGCCCTCAACGGCTTTAAATAGGCCATTTTCACGGATACATCCAGAATATTCCAGCAAATACCGGCCCCCGACCGACCAGGTGCAGAAAGTTCGAGTGTACAGCCTTCTAGAAAGCTTAGCTCCTCCATTACTAGACGCTAGTGGGAGAGTTATAGAAAGATCTTGACCCTCTTATTTCTGCTGCTTGATACCAGATGGCACTAATAATCAGCCGCCACATAGCAGGCGCTAATTATAGCGCGCAACAATACATTATACGATATTATTATGATCTCATTAAAATGATTATAATTGTAGACACTTTGGAACACTTTGATGTTACCTATCATTTTTATAACGAAATATATGCAATAGCAAATTATCATGCTAAATTTTAATGATGGTATCTCTACATATTATTGATTTAAATAATAGTTTTTTTTTCAAATATTTATGTTTTTTACTATAATTTATATTTTAGAATGTTTTGTATTTCAAAGGAGGAATAATGACCATTTAATTTGATTTCAGCTGAATTTATTATTGATTTGGCAGACATAAACCCAACATTTGAAGCTTTTAAAAAGGCACTTATTGAGAATGGAGCAGAGTTTTCAGACTCCTTTATGACAAATTTGCTGCGTATCATACAGCATATGAAACCAATTAGTTCATCGGCTGAAAATAATAAAAAAGGCACAACAAATTCTAACCCTTTAGCATTGAAGTTTCCTGGTTTAGCTATTCCTAATGAAAAACCTCCTACATTTTCATCTGATGAAAGCAGTGAAGAGGATGAAAAAGAGACAAAGAGAATAACTTCAAAAGACTTATTTAAAGAGGAATCAAAAGTAAAAGAATCAGGTGGTGATATTGTTCGGCAAGCAATGGCAGAATTGGAGGCATTGGCACCTTCAAACATTGGTTTAAAAAAGGAAGAAAAAAAAGATGTACAAAGTAAATATCAAAATGATACTAGGGTTAAAAGAGATAGATCTAAAGAAAGGCATAGAAGACGTAGTAGAAGTAGAGATAAAAGGAGCAAAACACCAGAACGTAGAAATAGAAGTCGCGATCGTGATAGGGATAAAAGAAGGCGTTCTAGAAGCCGTCATCGTTACAGATCACGGTCAAGGGACAGACACAGGAGATCTAGATCCAGAGGAAGAAGATCAAGATCACGAGGCCGGAGGTCCAGATCTAGAGGTAGAAGGTCAAGATCTAGGTCACATTCCCGGGACAGAGAAGGAAAAGATAAATTTAGAGACTTTGAGAAAAAATCACGAAAAAGAAGTCCTGAGGTAGAAATGAGTGATGATCCAGAGCCAGGAAAAGTATGTATGAACAAATATCTTAACCAAGTAATTCCACAAAACCTGTTCCTGAGCATCCATCCATCACCTACCTGTATCTCCATCAGTGGAGGGCCACCCCACACTCCCTTTACATATATATACACACACACACAATATATATATATATATATATATATATATATATATATAAAATACAGATTTTTAAGCCATAACATTATATAGTGCATTGGGGTACTACCGGACGGATTTTCGACTAGTTAAAAGAGTCTGACAAAAGATCCATTTTCTCGACATCCATATACGTCAAATTTCTAAAACCAGGTTCAAATCATTAAAGGTTAAACGTAGTTTAGCTATGAGAAGCTTTTACTTTTGTAAACTCAACGGTTTCTGCTTAAAACGTGTAAAAAAAAGGGGTAAGACCGGACGTCGCTAAAAATCGTAAATAAAACTGATAAGGAAAGACCAGATAGACGAAAAAAATACAAAAATTACCTTGTTTTATAATATGCCGCGCACACCAACAGCAGCTTTGGAGGCTATGCTGGAGCTAACACCGCTTCATCTACATATACAACAAGAAGCAACTTTAGCTGCCATTAGACTCAAGACCCTAAATCTGTTAAGTAAGAGTAGAGTGTGGATGTGTATTTAGCAGGGATGGTAGATATGATAGGGATATAGAACGACGAGTAAATGCAGGGAATAGAGTGAATGGGGGACTACACTCTATTATGAAGAACCAGAATGTGTCAAAAAAGGCACGTATGGTAATTCATAATGCTGTGTTAGTCCCTACTTTAATGTATGGTAGTGAAAGCTGGGTGTGGCAGAAGAAGCACGAAATTAGAATAAATGCTGTAGAAATGCGGTCTTTAAGGAATATGCTAAGGTTGAATCTGAATTACAGGGTGAGAAATTGCGTGATAAGAGATAAATGTGGTATGCAAGATGATGTTGTGACCAGGATTAAGAAAGGAATGCTTCGGTGGTTTGGTCATGTAGAAAGAATGAATGAGGAAAGAGTGACAAAGCAAATTTATATGGCAGATGTGTACGGCCGAGTCGGGAAGGGACGCCCTAGAAAAAAGTTTATAGACCAAATTGGCAATATTTTGAAAATGGGCCACGTTAGAAGTACCCTTAACTGACGAGCATGTATGCGTAGATATATGGATGTAAAGGAGGCGAAAGAGGTATGTCAGGATCGTCAAATGGAAGTCCGTAGTCTCTGCCTACCCCTCTGGGTGACAGGCGTGAGTGTTTATATACATATATATATAAAAGAGTAGAGTCCCCCATACAGATATAATCGATAGAATTTACTCAGAAAATTCCCTTCCACTATCTTACAAGCCAAGTATGATAGGATCCCAAAACAATTTGTATTCAATAAGAAGTACAGGATACAATTGAAGGAAACTGACCATCTGGAAGATTGGGTCTAAGAGAGCTCAAAGTTTTCATGGATGGCTCTAAGACAAATGAAGGTGTGGGGTCTGGGGCTTTCTCTGAAGACCTTAATATCCACATATGCACACCGCTGGGTACCCACAACACAGTCTTCCAGACTGAATGCATGGGTATCATCTAAGCGGCCATAGTAATAGATGCTAGGAAGGTGAAAGACTTCTCCATCTGAATACTGACCGACAGTATGGCGGTACTACAAGCTCTGAGTTGCAATGTGACGAACTCGGGACTGATATACGAGTGCCATCAACGATTGAATGAGGTATGTAAGCACAACAATGTGACTCTGCAATGGATCAAGGGACACAGTGGATCTAGAGGCAATGATGCAGCAGATGAACTGGCCAGAAGGGGATCGGCCCTAGCAACTATAGGGCCGGAACCAATAATACCCTTTGGCTATGTTCGTTCACTGGTACGTAGATACTTCAATAATTTACACGCTCAGCTGTGGAAAAATTTAGTAGACTGTAGACAAGCTAGGGAGGCCCTACCTGAAATAAACAGTCGTCTAACCAAGGTTCTAATGAGACTGAACAAGCCACAGATCAGGATAGTAACAAGTGCTATCACAGGACATGGCTCTTTTAACAAACATTTGTTCACCATAGGTGTTACTGACAGCCCCCTGTGCAGGGCATGCATGGGAGAGGAAGAAACGGCGGCTCACGTGTTGCTGACATGTCCAGAAGTAGCTTCATACAGGGCTGAACATCTCGGCACGCCGGGATCGCTCCCCGAAGTTGCTTGCAACATCAAGGGACTGCTGAGCTTCTTCGGAGAGATATCATGGCTCGAATAAGCATATTATTCCTGCCCACACGCAAAATACGCGCTTAGACGTGGAGTTGCGGAAAACAGCCCGTCGTAAACTAAACTAATATGCCGCGCAGCATACTTTCCCTGAGCGACTGGCTGGAACTTGGGGTCGGGGCAGAATGAAATGGTGTCTTGTACCATATTGCCAACTTTTAAAAATATAGCATACTTCACCGAAAATTAGAATTTTATGGTCTTGCCCCATCACTGAACTTACCCCAACGCACTTATACTTCTTAATAACGTTATTATTGCACTCTTTTACATTATACTTTTTATTTAGTCTGCTAAATAAGTGTGGAACAATAACATAAAACTGCTTCTGGGCGAATCTTGTTTTTACAAGTAAGGAACAATTTTTTGTGATAATGGCGTAGAATTTGACGTGGTAGAGCCATGCTGCAGTTATATTAGGTAGTATATTTGTAGCACGAATGTGTCGGCTCGACCGAGGAAGGACCATGCTCTCACAGAATACCAGCGTGAAATAGCAGTTCAACGCTGCTGTGTTTCGTATGGTGAGTGTAGAGAACCGGAGACCCATTTTACTGGAATTGAGGCATTCCATCTTAGTCCTCACGGGTGACAACGCATCAGCATTTTGATTCGTAATCGAGGAAAGATGTATATGTCTATAGGCCACAGCAACCACTTAACATCAGGTGGGCTGTGTGCTCGTTTGTCACCCTTGTACAATAAAAAAAAAGACTTATAAATAAATACAAATCCTATTTCACCCTCTTAGGGAGGGGGGGATTTTCTCATATCCGTTTCTTAGCTGACACCTACGTCCTAAAATTAACCTACATGTAGGTTTTATAGTTCCTGAGATCTCATGATGAATCAGTCAGTGAGTTACCTTTCGCTTTTATGATTCGAAAACACGTTTTACAAACTTAAATAAATAACAAGTAGAGGATTTGTGGGACCTTGATATAATTTTGTAATCTGAGTGGTATTATTTTTCCTATCCACTATTACTTTGTATTGGTACTCGTACATATACTGCTTGCTTATGTTTAATATTTGCTTAAATAAAACGGCAACTAAATAAATATGGCTGTTTAATTCTTAATAAGTAAAATACTTACTTATTGATAACAAGTTGTATTGAAAATAGTTGAAAGGTTATTTATTTTGACTAATTGGTGGGGTTAAATCAAATGTTTAATAATTTTTCTTAAGAAACGCGCAAACTAATAAAAGGTACTGCGTTCGTTTGTAGTATTCGCTCCGTAAACGTCATTGATTTTGCGTACAGCTTGTGCCGCGTTGCTGCCACAACGGTACTCATATTCCATAATTACTCGAATTTTTAACGTTTTTTATGACGAAAAAGATTCAAATGCTATGAAAACATAACGGGTAATTAATAAACAAATGATTAATTTTGAAACAAGAATTCCATGTCTTTAAAATAAAATAAATTCGATAATAGAGTTGTTAGCCAAACAAAAATTATTTTGATTTGAAATGGCCTGTGCTGCAGAACGGCAATTTCATTTGAATAAGTTTAGTGGAAATTGAATTTTTTTTAATATTTTGACACATAGGATAAATGGCCCATGCCTTATGTCTGCTTATAGTTTGTTTTTAAATATAACTCATAACAATAAGGCATGATTATAAGTTGAAAACTTTGAAGAATAATTAAGAAACATTATTATTAGGGAACACATTAAAATAGATAGAAATCCGATCTATGTATTAAACTGCGGACGTGATGTCCAAAAATGTGAGCAGAAGTACGAATTTTCGGAACTTTATAAAACATGGCGTAAAGTGGAAACCGTTCGAGATAAAAATATTTTTTATGGAACCGAGGCCACCTCTCCCCCCCCCCCCCGCCCGACACGTACGTACTAGATTATCAACCATTGCTGGGGCAATCTGTATAAGTTGTGATAAGCCACCATGTGTTCTAAAGTACTTAACTATTTTCAGATATACAATGGTCGAGTAGCAAATATAGTTCCATTTGGTTGTTTCGTACAAATTGAAGGTTTGAGGAAGAGATGGGAAGGATTAGTTCACATCTCCCAACTACGTGCTGAGGGAAGGGTTACCAATGTTTCTGATGTGGTTTCTAGAGGTGATAAAGTTAAGGTATGTTGTTTTTACATGTGGGTACAAAATATATTTGCTAGTATCTTCCTACACTAAATTTTGTATTTGTTCAAAATGGTTTTTCGAGAAGTGGAGATGTAAGAATATCCACTGCGTCATATCATAGCGTTTTTATGCATAGCATAGAGCCATGCTGCAGTTACATTAGTAGTATAGTTGTAGCACGAATGGGTCGGCTCGACCGAGGGAAGGTCCACGCTCTCACAGAATAGCAGCGTGAAATGTTAGTGCTATACTGCTGTGTTTCGAATGGTGAATGTAAAGAACCGGAGACCCCTTTTACTGGAAAAGAGGCTTTCCATCTTAGTCCTCACTTTGATTTTTAATCTAGGATAGATGTAGATGTCTATGGGCCACAGCAACCACTTACCATCAGGTGGACTGTGTGCTCGTTTGTCAACCTATCGAAAAAAAAGTGTCATAGGAGGCGACAAAGGAAACCTGACACTGAACATGGGCAATAGCATCTTTCTGATAACAGCTCAAAATAATAAAAAAACTGCAATTGCTAACCCTCGTGCCGTGGCAATTATGGCAAATATGCGGCAAACTATGGGGAGGCCTGTGTTCTGTTGTGTACTTTTGATAGGCTGTAATTAATAAATATAAAAATGGTTTATTTAAAAATTTGTTTCTTAAATTCTTTTCATTGATGCTTTTGAAGTTGAATAAGTTTATCCAAACCTACTGTTAAAATATGTTTATTTATATTGATTGTTACGAATATATGTTTTATTTCAGGTTAAAGTTATATCAGTGACTGGGCAAAAGGTTTCCCTTACTATAAAAGACGTTTGTCAAGAGACTGGAAAAGATCTAAATCCTACATCTCATGCACACTTACAGGTAACATATAACAGCCTTATTTTAAAATAATGCCATTTTTATAGTATGTGATTTTGATACCAGTTGGCACCACTGAAATTAAAAAATAAAAATATAAATTTCTTTGCAACTTTCCGCTAAACATATAAAATGATGTGTCTTACCTGGATTGAAGCGCACCTCCCGCTCTCCCTCAATTGTATACACTAACTCCGTCAGCACTAGACCAAGCACCACTACTCTCAACACCACTATTCCAGGCAAGACACACCATCGACGATAATACGACACGTGTTTCGCCTCTACACGAGGCATCATCAGGTAATATAGACTCTACGGCGGCTACCACTGAAATTGTTAATTACGATGAAAATTACTGATAACTATGACCATGACCAGACTATGTCGAGTCAGGAGAAGCATGATATACTTTTTACTCCAAACCTGCTTAAAATTGAAAGAGAACTGTGCCCAGCACTACGTCCTACTGGTATTGGCACCCGTTAAGATCCCAACTCTTTTACCAACAAACCCAAATGTTGTTTTTATTGAACTTTACCACCTTTTAAAATTTACGTCATTGGTAGAAATAATTTGTCACATATCTTGGTCTTGGCTTTTTCTTTGATAATTATAGTATAATAAAAGTTTTGTTTTGAAGCAGATAAAATACATTTGAATTTAATTGAGCGTCAACTGCCATTTGCAATGCTTAAAAGCTAAAAGAGACGGTTCTGCAGGTTAAAGTTACGATCATGTCTTACCAGGCTGAACGCGAAGGCCGTAATCCTGATCGACCAGCTCCGGCTGCTACAGTGTTGGCGGGTCTGCAAGGAAATCTTGATCCTGACGAAGACTCCAGCCGTAAGCGTGTCACAAGAATCTCCAGTCCGGAAAGATGGGAAATAAAACAAGTAGGTATTATGTGTACAAATAAATAAAATTGAAATGGTTTTTTCAAGTGACAAAGAAACTTACAGTCCACCTGATATTAAGTGGCTTCTGCAGCCCATGGACAACTTCAAACAAAGAAGGCTATAGATATGTTGTTACCTTCTGAGGACTAAAATGGAATACCTCACAGCGCGTAAATACACTGGCTCTCCTTCACACCGAAACACAGCCGTCCAGGCACTGCTGGCGGCAGAAAAAGGTAAGAGGGTGGTACCTACCCAAACGCGATTCCTGAGAAGAAGTCCACTACCCGTACAATTAAAGAACGGGATTTGAAAATGGTGTCGCCTCTATTCACCTCTCGCTCGCACACCGTCGTTATCACTCTCACACCCGACGATAAAGACTGCAAAAAAATTACGTTACGATATGCGTTTTCGTAGGTTTTATAACTTCAGTCCAACTTGTCATTGTCACGAAAAAAAAGAGTAATACCAGAAGTGACCTAAACTAAATTTTATCCTAAAAATGTAGAGACTATTAAAATAAGAATATTGATAAGAATAAAAATATAAATTACTTCGCAACCTTCCGCTAGCTAAATACAATGATGTGTCTTATCTGGATTGAAGAGCACCTCCCGCCCTCCCTCAATTGCATGCACTAACTCCGTCACCACTAGTCCCAGCACCACTACTCCCAACACCACTATTCCAGGTAAGACACACCATCGACGATAATACGACACGTGTTTCGCCTTTACACGAGGCATCCTCAGGTGATGTAGACTCCACGGCGGCTGACCGCAAAGATAAAATAAATTGGTAAGATAAAATAAATGGTCTTAATTATTATCTTGAGTCTAAATAACAACACGTTAATAGATCCCACCCAGGCGAAGCCAAAGCGGGCCGCTAGTTATTAATATTATTTTAAAATTAATGTACCTACCTCCGTATACAATTATTTTCAAATATTTTCCCATTAATAAAAAAATTAAATTAACGGAATGATATAATAATATAACGATGCACCGTTATTAGTGGGTTTCTGCTATTGGTTCTGTGCATGTTGACGGTACTAGCTCGATGAGTCGCCATTTTAATCCCATTCTTTATCCGTATGGACTGTAGTAAAATTTACTCAAGACTTAACATTGTCTTAATTAATTTTTGTGATCATAATACTAAATTACTACTTAATTATTATTTACAGATGATATCATCTGGTGTCATTGACAAGAGTGAATTGCCAGATTTCGATGAAGAAACCGGTCTACTACCAAAAGATGAAGATGGCGAAGCAGATATAGAGATAGAATTGGTCGAAGACGAGCCTCCATTCCTTCAAGGCCACGGTCGTGCGCTACATGATCTCTCCCCAGTAAGAATCGTGAAGAATCCTGATGGTTCACTTGCTCAAGCCGCAATGATGCAATCCGCTCTGGCTAAAGAAAGAAGAGAACAGAAGATGCTGCAACGAGAACAAGAAATGGAGAGTGTACCTACTGGATTAAATAAAAACTGGATAGATCCACTTCCAGAATCTGACGGAAGAACCCTAGCAGCCAACATGAGGGGATCGGGTATAACGCCACAAGATCTTCCCGAGTGGAAGAAACATGTTATTGGAGGGAAAAAGTCATCTTTTGGTAAAAAGACCAACCTGTCATTGTTGGAGCAGAGACAGTCGTTACCTATTTACAAATTGAAGGATGAGTTGATAAAGGTAAGACTTATTTTCTGTTAATAACTCTTTAAATTCTCCCAGTCAACCATTATATTAAACAGAGATAAACATATAGTACATGGTGATGCAAAAGCGAAAAGAAAATGAGAAAGACAATAAGCCTAATGGTTAAAATAATAATTACAAAAACTAGACTGCGTGAAAAATATCACTGAAAAGAGACAAATTCAATTACTAAATTATACTCTACATCCTTTCTATAATTAAGAAATATCTAACGACACCGCCAGTATTAATATCTAACAAGCCGTTTAGGCTTCAAAGCGTGGCAAAGTAATAGACTTTTATACATACAGTAGCTGGCCAGGCCGACGTTGTTCTGCCCTTTCCGACGACCCTTCCTATAAAAAATCCTTAAATTCGCAATAAAAAATAATGAAGGTTTAAAAAAAGCTTTAAAATATTGAAGGTTAAAAACAGTGCAAAATGTTTATTGAATTCAGTTCAGTAGTTTAGGAGTTCATCGCGGACAAACAATGTGACACGTAATTTTCATATATAAAGACTAGCTGTTCCCCGCGACTTCGTTAGCGTGGAGTTTATTACATTTAGATTACCTAAGTTACTCCTCATAAAATCATCTATCTGCCAGTGAAAGCCCCGTCAAAATCGATTCAGCCACTTCGGAGATTAGCCGGAACAGACAGACAGACAAAATTTTATAAATTGGTTTTTTGTTATAACTACCGTATATACTTTTATATGGATTTAGTAAAAAGCTGTTATTTAGACATTAAAAACAACTGAAAAACATCATCCTCTTTCTGGGGCTGTTGGGTAAAAATATATTTAATTAGAATGAAAAGTCACGGGCATACTTCGTTCCATCTATCGTCTTAAGTTCTTTCTGCCTCATTCAACTAAGCTTCTACTCATCCAATCTCTAATTCTTCCATTATTTGACTATGCCGATGTTTGTCTTTCTAATATCTCTCAGGAGCTGCTAAGCAGGTTGGACAGGTTACTTAACAACTGCATACGATTCATCTTTGGCCTGCGCAAATACGATCACGTATCAGAATTTCGCTCCCAATTAAATTGGTTGACTATACGCCAGCGCAGAGATTTTCGAATGCTGTCCTCTCTGTTTTCAGTTCTTAATAATTCTTCCTCACCCCTTTACCTAAAAGAAAGATTCCAATTCCGTAGTGACACTCATTCTCTCAATCTCCGATCTTCACACAATTTATTACTGTCTACTCCTCTCCACCATTCTGGGTTTATGTCAAATTCTTTCACATTAACTTCCATCTCCCTCTGGAACGAATTGTCTGTTGACCTGCGAATAATACCTGCTAAAAACGTTTTTAAAAGAAAACTATACGAATATATCCGTAACCAACAAATTTGAGTCCACTTACTTTATATGTTTACAGTTATTTGTATATAAATTTATGGATATATATATATATATATATATATATATATATATATATATATATATATATGTGTGTGTGTATATATATATTTTATGTATGTGTAGCATGTACATTTTTGAATTGAATGTGATCATGACAACTTTACTGCCCATAACTCACTCTCTGTTCTACCCAAGGTTAGCTGGTAGAGAATGCCATATAGCATTAAGCTCGCCTTTTGTACAAAATCTTTGGTGCAGTAAAGAATAAAATAAATAAATAAATAAAAAAGTCCGCATTCGTTTAAACAGTTTTAAATGTTAATATTTGTGGCCGTGGTAGGAAAAGGGGAGATCTCCCGCCGGGCAAGGTGTTCTGCCCGGGGAGCGGCCAACGCTCCGTGTGATCGTTCGGAGATGTTCTATATATACTGTTTATGATTCGGAATGTTGATAGCGTGATTTAGGCTTCAGTGTGTTTCGCTTGTGGCGCGATGACAGCGCCGCTACATCACCCCCCTTGCTCAGACCGGAGGTCGATAGTGCAGTCTCGTTGCCGACGAATGTGTAAGTGCCAGGAGATTGCCTTGTAGTCTGCGGTGAGTCGAGAAGGAGGCAAGTAATCTGCGAGAGTGTCGTGAAGCAGAGGCAAGCAGTAAGGCTCAGAGCCGTGCCGAACACTGTAGCGCAGAGAGTTGCTTTATTATTCCAGTACTGCGATGAACCTTGTGAAGCTAGCTGGCTTGCAGGATATGAAGACTGCAGACGATATCTGCTCGGGAGCGAATGGGTGGTGTATTCTATGACGATGATAAAGCTTGAAGTTTTCCGAAGGTTGTTTGGTTGCGTGTTCAGAATCACGTCGGTTAGTCACCACTGTGGCCGTGGTAGGAAAAGGGGAGATCTCCCGCCGGGCAAGGTGTTCTGCCCGGGGAGCGGCCAACGCTCCGTGTGATCGTTCGGAGATGTTCTATATATACTGTTTATGATTCGGAATGTTGATAGCGTGATTTAGGCTTCAGTGTGTTTCGCTTGTGGCGCGATGACAGCGCCGCTACATATTAATACAAGCATTACCAGAAATCTCTCTCAGAAGTCTTAATTTGATATGTACTACTGCTACTAATCCATGGCAACACAACTTTATAAAAGTCACTACGTGGAACATAGCACTTATATTGTGTGTTTTTTCTATTATTTTTACTACTACTGGAGTGTTTGATAATTTGACTGATTTATTAAGCTTAAAAGGGCACGGGTTGCAGTTCCCGGTTTATAATAGACACTGTATTGTGCTCGCTATCTTTAGCTGAACTTGATCACCAATGGTGTGATTGATGAGGAGGGCTATTCTCAACAATGAATTCTAAGATTTATTTTAAACGTGGTAGAGCCATGCTGCAGTTTTATTATGATTGTAGCAAGAATAGGTCGGCTCGACCGGGGAAGGACCACGCTCTCACAGAATACCAGCGTAAAATAGCAGCTTAATACTGCTGTGTTTCGTATGGTGAGTGTAGAGAACCGGAGACCCTTTTTACTGGAAACCAGGCATTTCATCTTAGTCCTCAAGGTTGGCAACACATCTGAATTTTGATTCTTAATTGAGGATAGATGTGATGTTTATGAACCACAGCATCCACTTACCATCATGTGGACTGTATGCTCGTTTGCCACCTTTATTCTATAAAAAAAACCCGGTTTGTCGTTGCTCTCGGCATCGCTCTTCTCTGCCAGTCTTTCGACTAAGAGGGAAATCTTACTAAAGAAATTAGTCTCCCTGGGCGCATAACGCAGATACAGGAACGGTCTATTTCTACCATAGTGGCCACCTTGCAAACACAGCTAGCACCTGCCGCATCCAAACCTAGGAGCGGGAAAGAGGAGCTCATGGCGGATATAGGGGCTCTAATTGACACGAAGTTGATTGCCTTCCATGCTAGATTGATTTCTGAAAGGGCCTCAGCCAACGAGCCGCTGACACCGCAGGTACAGCTGCCAGCTTCAATGGAAGCAAGACGTCCGCAGTCGTAGCCGCTGCCATTGCCGTCGCAACCGAAAAGAAAAAAAAAGCGAAGGGTAAAGAAGAAAAAGTTGCCTTCCCATCCGCTGGAGGTAGATCTGCCTCGTGGCTGCCTCGCCGCAGCTGCACAACTCACCACCGCCGATAGTAAGCTCATGAGCGGATGGGCAAGAAGGCCAAAGTAAAAGCGGCCTACAAAAATGGCGGATCCTCTCCCTTCTCCAAAAGGGGGAAAAGGAGATGTAAAACTGAAATGCGTACGCCAGCATCAGCGGCAATTACAATGAATTTGCCTAAAGACTACTAAAAGACTCACCTCGGGCGCCCCTCCAACCATAGAAAAAATGCGCTCAACCTGCGAAAAGGGGAGTTAGGAAAAATAAACACCCCCCCCCTCCACTCCCTCCAGCCTGACGGTCACAGCAGCACCGAGCTCCGGCTCAGCAATGGAAGTCGCTGAGGCGTAAAAGTCACGCCCATCAAAGTTCTCAAGGGTAACCAGAACTACTGGCGTAAAGCACATCTGCGTATGCAGACTATTGTAGAGTGGCGGGTTGTTCGGCGACGAATCGGACTCTGTAGCCATCTACTGGGGGGGGGGGGGATGCGTACTTTTGGAAGGGAGACAGAGATTTGTTGCAGTGCAGTGGGGCACCCTGGCTATAGTGGGCTGCTATGTCTCTCCTAGGAGGACCCATACCAGAACCTGGGGCAACTATAGGGACGATCCAAAGGGAGAGATCGTAATCGAATGGGCGGCTGGTCTGGACCTTCGACTGTGAAATTGGGGGTCTAAGAGTACATGTGCTGTGAGTGATGTGAACGGGAGTCCATTATTGATCTCACGTGGTTGACTCTTCCTGTAATGCAAATGTTGTCAGGATAGCGAGTTGCGACGGAAGTGGTGACATTGTCAGACCACCGCAACATTGTGTTCGCCGGTAACGGAAGCCCACCGCGGGGTTGGTGTTACAAGTGGCTTGACCAAGACAAGCTCGGAGCCGGAGCCATCGTCGCAGCCTGGCCGAAAAAAGCCGAAGACGTTCCGCTTAATCGGGTAGGGGAAGCGAATTGGTTTTGGGTTACGATGGCGCAAATATGCGACGTCTCGATTCCAAGAACCAGTTGTCCCAAACGTAAGGCGGTTTACTGGTGGTCGGCAGAAATTGCATACCTTCGTGCGATCAGCTTGCGGAGTTAGCGCCAGTACACTAGAGCATAAAGAAGACGACGAGCTGAACTCGAGTAAATAAAACCCTACGGAACATACCGAGCGACTACAAAGGCGTTACAAATTGTCATATATAACGCTAGGTCTCGGTCCTGGAAAGAGCTCCTAGAGGGACTCAACAAAGATTCCTGGGGACGTCCGTACAAGATAGTGCTGGGTAAACTCCGGCCCTGGTCGACTCCCTTAACGGAGACTCGATCCAGACCTTCTGGGAAGAGTGATCAGCACACTTTTCCCGGAGGACTGGTTAAATATCTCAGGTCGCCTGCCGTCGTCATGGGAGTGGCAAGATGAGTTGGGGGTGACCGTGGAAAGCTGGACCGAGCCGTTAGCCGCTTGAGAGCCTGGAACACCGCACCGGGGCCTAACGGAATTTCGAGTGGGGCTCTAGTACTGAGTCTGGCTGCCTTTCGGGACAGGTTAAGACAGCTATTTACCGGGTGTCTGCGGAGTGCCAAGTTCCCCACAGCATGGAACGAAGTAAGGTTGGTCCTCTAGAAAAAAGAAGGCAGGGCAGATGATTCTTCCTCTGCATACTGTCCCATGTACCTGTTGGACAAGATTGGCAAAATTATTAAAGATAGTTGCCACTCAGCTCAACAGACATCTATCGCCAGTCGGTCGCGATTTGGCTGTAGATGCCACTGTGCGCGTTCGCTCCTTGTCGGAACAAGCAGTATCCCAAGGTGGTGTGACGTTGGTTAAATAGTCTTGATATCGACAACGCCTTCAACTCTTTACCCTAGAATATACTCAGGAGGGCATTAGAATAGCATCAGTAACTGCATACCTGCAAGGCGTAATCGGGGACTACTTGCGCGACAGGTACATTTTGTACGTGGAACAAGATGGTAGAAAGATCGGGAGGGAGATCAAACGCGGGGTACCGCAGGGCTCGGTGTTGGTTCCGTTATTGTGGAACCTCGCGTACGATGCGGTTTCGCGTGCTGACCTTCTTTCTCTCTCTCTTTGTTAAATATCGTGTGCTATGTCCACGACACACTTCACACACACACACATCCCCAGCGGGGTTGCCTGCAAGGTGACCAAGGAGCTCGTTGAGCTTGGGACGGAAGTCGTCGTCACCAAAATCCACGAGTTGGGTCTATAAATAGCGCCTCATAAGATCGAGGCCTTATGGTTTCACAAACTACCCCATAGTAGGCAACCACCCGACTCGTGCGCCTACGTGGGTCTAAGATCGGAGTGGAGTGGTACATGAAGTACGTAGGGCTCCACCTGGACAGTCGCTGGAGCTTCGAAGAGCACTTAGAAGTGCTTAGTCTCCAACAGCCTGCCAACAGTCGTGTCGGCGATGTTAAGCGGGGACTCGGCGTGTAGAGCTATAGCCACCTTCTGTGAGTCCGTCATGGTCCAAAAGGAGGCTGCTGAGTGGCATCGATGTCGCCAACAAGGCGTTCGTCATGGCCCTTCCCTTGAATATGGTGTTCGCCTATCAGAAAAGGTGCCTCTGGGATTGCAGGCGTTTAGGGCGGGGGCCTCAATGGCTCGGAAGTGGTCCCGGGACTTCGTGTTAGCACTGTGAGGGTGCTGGGGGCAGTAAGTACTGCACTTGGGACCTGCTTCCAATAAAGCAAAGCGAGAGAGCTGCCCCGATTGCGTTCCGAACGGAGATCCTGAGACCCCTCTTAAACTTTGATGTCGACCACCGTGGAGTTTTAGCCAGTAGGAGTCCAGCATAACCTTTTGGTTTCCCCTGCAGCCAAAGGCATCCACGAAGATTTCCCCACGAAAAAAATGTGGTTGTAAATGCGACTGTTGATCTTGAGGTTCCGGGTTCAATCCCGGGTCGCACCGAAAAAAAGAGGAATAGTTCGAATTAATTCCAGCCGCCAAATTTCACGAACGTACATCGCGTCAAAATTCTCGGTACCTTCCTCACTATCTGGATGTTTGGCGGTCCACTACTGTGCGTTTTACTAGGAGTTTTCATCCTCGTACAACTTCTCTGTGGAATTGTTTACCACCGGCAATTTATTCCGGACCGATACGACTTACGGACCTTCAAGAAAGGAGCTTACTCCTTTCTAAAAGGCCGGCAACGCACCTGCAATTCCTCTGGCGTTGCAGGTGTTCATGGGCGGCGGTAGTCACTTACCATCAGGTGGGCCATATGCAGGCCTCCGTCACTCACTCTTGGCCACGCGTTATGTGCCTACCGATCTGCGTATCGCCCACGATGCAACCGACATTGGGCTGCCGCACGCCCGCCTGAGGGCTTGCACCGCGCAGTGTTGCCAAACGTTTTGAACCTTTTATCTGTATTAGACACTGCTAAAATCTGTATTAAATCTGTATGCTATTTAAACTTAAAATCTGTATAAAATCTGTATAATTTAATAAACCAAAATAGAATAATTGATCATCATCATCATCATTGCTTTTTTTGAAAAACAAGGAATAACTACTAACGTGATAAGCAGATACGGTTTGATTATCGTTATTATTAATTAAAAATATTTTTTTATAGAATAAGGGTGACAAACGAGCACACAGTCCACCGATGGTAAGTGGATGCTGTGGCCCATAGACATCTACATTTATACTCGCTTAAGAATTAAAAACGCAGATACGTTGTCACGCCTGAGGACCAAGAAGGGATGCCTCATTTCCACTAAAAAGGGTCTCCGGATTTCTACTTTCACCATACGAAACACAGCAGTATTAAACTGGTATTTTACGTTGGTATTCTGTGGTTGCAGTGCTGCAACTATAATATAGCTGCAACGTGGCTCTACCACGTATAAAATATACACTATACACAAAATTTTTTATATAGCAAAATTGAAAACATTAATTTAAGCAAACAACATATTAAAACTCAAACATTTGCCAAATGAACATATAATTACTTTATTATTTTCAGCCATACATATTTTATACACAGGGCGTTAATGTAAACACCGTTATACTTGAAACCAGTGGTTTGGTTTCACTTATAGAACGTAAATTCAATGAAAAATAACAACATTTTTTTTTTGTAAAATCTCAATTTTTCCTTAATTCCTCAATTTTGCCTGTCCTAAGCCAGGGTGAAAGTATGAAGGAAGTTTCATCACAGGTTATGTGTACCTATTGTGTTTTTATTGTAATATAGTGTAGGTAGCTAGCGCGGGCGGTGATCTTTATAGTGATTATGTCACCTAGGCGCATAGGGTATCCATGAATTTACGGACGGTTTCGGACAGAAACCTCTTAAATTTTATAAAAGAAAATAGGGTTTTTTTAGAATTCGGATAAATATTTTAATATTAAAGCCTACTAACTAAACCACCTATGGTTTTAGTGAAAACGGTGTTTATACTTACACCTTGTATACATATTTTGTAATACACTGGTAATTCTGCCATAATAACTAATTACACTGTGAAAAAATAAATTAACCATAGATAATAAAATCATGAATGTGTGTAACGCGGTATCTAGTTACTTATTTTGCTTCATTCTATTTTAAGTTGAATATTATGGTAATCCAATCAATAGAGTTAGAAAACTCTGTATAAAAATCTGTACCCAGTGCTAATCTGTATCACACACCAAAAATCTGTATAAATACGGGGAAATCTGTATATATGGCAACACTGGCCACCGCGTACGATTCCCGCGCTTACTCGTCGAAATGCCAAAACCATGTAATTATTGTGCAGTGGATGGGTGTAAAAGTAAAAAAAAAAAAACGAAAAATTGTCTTTTTTTTTGCGTTAACTCATGTATCAGAGTATTTATTATATAAGTGTGGCAAAAAAACCATAACGGCATTAGCTTTAGTGCTTTGTTACAGAACCCTAATATTGCCGAAACAACACTCAATACTCATTTCTAAGCTTATAATAAAGATTCATCTTTTTTATGGTGGGACAAAAGTCCCACCAGAACCGTTTAATAATTGTATTGAAGAATTAGAAAGAGCATTCTTAAATAATTTTGACAACGTCATAATGAGTTGACCTGGCAGCACCGTGTTGCAAATTTTATAAACCATTGATTTTCCTCTGCCTTGCTCCTGTTCTCCTCATGATTATTTATTAAAATTATTTACGCGATTTAGGAATCTTCAAGGATAAAATTTAATAACCGAGAATTCAGAGAAGGAAAAAATGTATAAATCATTTTATAAAACAAACATATTTGATGACAAATAAAAAATAATGTTAGTTATGTATTTCGCAACATTCGTCTTATTACAATTATCATCATAGGTACAACCCTAGCGCATTCGTGCGATGACGCGCTTGCACGTGAGTCTCAAGCCGGGCAATACAATCTCAAATCTTCGTGCGCGTACTTATGGTACAATTTCTTCCCGCTGCGAGCAGCAGATATTATTATTAAGATTTTGTAGGCTGTTATAGCGTAGGTATTTTCGCTTTTGTATGGGAGTGATGTATCTGTTGGTAAACTATTTATTAATCTGTGCCGCATGCTCGTTTGTGCTTATTGTATGCAACGCAATCACACGCTCGCAAGAGATTGACGTGAAAGTGATCTCAGAATTAGAAAACATGTTATAAATTTGTACTAGTGCATCCGCTAAAAAGATACAATAGTGTCCGACGCCAAACGTACGTTGCGTACGTTGTTCAAGTGTGTATACCAACGTAGGAGCGTTGCATCGCGTACGTTGCGTACGTTGGTCAAGTGTATATACCAACGTAGGAGCGTTGCATCGCATACGTTGCGTACGTGAGAATGGTCTATCCTTACTGTTATCGTGTTGTGCAGGCGGTGGCGGACAACCAGATCCTGATCGTGATCGGAGAGACGGGGTCGGGCAAGACGACACAGATGACGCAGTACGTGGCGGAGAGCGGGCTGTCCGCGCGCGGCAAGGTTGCGTGCACGCAGCCGCGCCGTGTGGCCGCCATGTCCGTCGCCAAGCGCGTCGCCGAGGAGTTCGGCTGCCGGCTGGGCCAGGAGGTCGGCTACACCATCCGCTTCGAGGACTGCACCAGCCCCGAGACCATCATCAAGTCAGTCGCACAACTCTAACTGTACTATATTATATTATGTGTACTCCGCCGTGTCCGTCGCCAAGCGCGTCGCCGAGGAGTTGGGCTGCTGGCTGGGCCCAAGAGGTCGGTTACACCATCCGCTTCGAGGACTGCACCAGCCCCGAGACCATCATCAAGTCAGTCGCACAACTCTAACTGTACTATATTATATTATGTGTACTCCGCCGTGTCCGTCGCCAAGCGCGTCGCCGAGGAGTTGGGCTGCTGGCTGGGCCCAAGAGGTCGGTTACACCATCCGCTTCGAGGACTGCACCAGCCCCGAGACCGTTTTTGAAACGGTTTGCCATCTCATGTATAAAAAAGCTTGTGTATCTTTTAAGATTTAATTTTACGTTGTGGTGTTTGAGTTTTAACTTGAAATTGTCTCTAAATACTGGTCTTTTTTTTTAAAAAACTATGTGGCACAAACTATCGTTCAGTCTCAGCTCCAATACCATCTTAAAATATTTGATCAAACTGCTGCTCTACATTGCGCAATTTAAACCCGTTTATTTAAATCTTTTCTACTTAGTGCACATATATTTAAAACTATAGAAGTTCCACCAGTATTGTTTGCATAAAGTTGACTGAGGTGTTGATAAATTGTATGCATTTTAGGCATTGTAGATATTTATTAATAAATTAATAACTACTGTTTTTTATCCACAGGTACATGACAGATGGTATGTTACTCCGCGAGTGTCTCATGGACTTAGATTTGAACAGTTATTCGGTTATCATGTTAGACGAGGCTCACGAGAGGACAATCCATACGGACGTGTTATTTGGTCTTCTAAAACAAGCAGTTCAAAAAAGACCAGAGCTTAAACTAATCGTCACCTCTGCGACCTTAGATGCTGTGAAATTCTCGCAGTATTTCTTCGAAGCTCCAATCTTCACTATACCAGGTCGAACCTTCCCTGTAGAAGTACTGTACACTAAGGAACCAGAAACGGATTATCTCGATGCTTCACTTATCACGGTCATGCAAATTCACTTAAGGGAACCTCCGGGAGATATACTTCTGTTCTTAACCGGTCAAGAAGAAATTGACACCGCTTGTGAAATTTTGTATGAGAGAATGAAGTCTCTAGGTCCTGATGTACCTGAGCTCATTATCTTACCAGTTTACTCTGCGTTGCCTTCCGAAATGCAAACAAGGATATTTGAACCGGCACCGCCTGGATCGAGGAAGGTCGTAATAGCTACTAATATAGCAGAAACGTCCCTCACAATAGATGGAATATACTATGTGGTGGATCCAGGATTTGTGAAGCAGAAGGTGTACAATTCGAAGACCGGTATGGACTCATTGGTTGTAACACCAATTTCACAGGTACTTGTATTCTCGTAACTATTGTAGCTTTTAGTGATTTAATTTTTACGTAAACATTTTTGTATTGTAAATTCATATAAGTTTTAATTTTGGATAGATTTAGAACCGTGTGCGTGTAATATCCACTGCCCCATTTCGTTCCGTAGGTATTGTAATAGGCGACAGAGGAAATCAAGAGGAGATGAACAGAAATGTCTTCGTAATAATAATAAAAAAAATAAAAACTGTGATTGTTGACCCACCTACCAAGCGTGGCAATTGTGGCAAATAACCTATCGTCGTAGGCATGAGGCAATCTAGACGCCTATATTCAGCAGCAGTGAAACGGTAAATTTAGATACAAAAGATTGACTAGATAGATATGAAGTACCCAATACTTGAAAAGAACATTAACAAAGTCCTCGAAACATACGATATAAATTGAAACTTAATAATTTGGCAAAACAGCTTGAACTATGATATTATATCTTGAAATTGCGTTGCAGCTTATATTGTTATTTCCATGGAGGTTAGAGAACAGAAGATCGATCGCTATACTAAAGCATAGGCCGCCTGTCCATGAAAATTTGTAGAATTTATAGCCGCGCTGCCGTCGGTAAGTACCTAGTATCAACGAAGTAATTTTTTAAAAAGAAACATTATAAAATGTTAAAATATTATTTAAAAAAAATCAATAATAATTAATAATTTATATTTTTTATTAATTTATAATATATAAAATAATTAAAATTATAAAAACATAATTTATAATTTATTTATTAATAAATAATTATAATAATATTTTATAATAATAATAATTGTTTTTTCTTTGAATGAAATAATCATTTCAAACTAGCGCACAACAGCCCGCTTTTATTGAGACAACTTAGTGGTCGCAGCGCCTCTCTGATTTTGTCCATATTTTTGGGACACTATTTTCTACAGCGATCGTTCTCCTGTTCTCTAACCTCCATGGTTTTTTATTCAATGACATATTAAAGTTTTGGCGGGATCTTGGCCGTAGTCGGATTGTTGCTCCTGTTTTATCGCTTAAATAATGGTTTGAAGTGGATTTTGATTCGTAAAAGTGATGCGATTTTGTGAATGAAGTGTCCGCGCATGTGAACTAATAGAGAAAACGACGAAACAAGTGCTTTGATTTCGATATAAACCACATGTTATTTTGATCGCTTGGGCGCCTCATGAACTTGAGTGGCTGTCGCCATCAACTGTTCGCTAGGTTGAGCTGTCGTAAAATCTCACAAGGGCTTCGCAATGTGACGCATCAGCATATTGTGAAGAAAAAGAATATAAAAATGAAGATTCCGAAAGAAATGGTAGGCTCAGAAGGGCTAGAATCCAGAGCCGTAAAGCCAGTTAATAAAAAATGACTTATATTAGGAGTTATGGCGGGAACTTGGCCGTTGACGGATTATCGATCCTGTTTTGTCGCTTGAATAATAGTTTGAAGTGGAATTTGATCCGTAAAAGTGATGCGATTTTGTGCATTAAGTGTCTGCGCGTGTGAACTATTAGAGAAAACGACAAAACAAGTGCTTTGATATTGAAAAAAAAAAACTTTATATTCTTCCAGTACAAAACGCCAATTTCATATGTAAGGGCGTATTATTTACGCGAACACTTCACATTGGATAAAACTATATTTAGGAATTTTATCGCGTTTAATTCACTTATTTTTAATTCCCGACGTTTCGGGTGCTTTTGGCATGGGTTCTGCAAAGTACCTGAAACGTGGGAAATAAAAAATAAGTTTAACAAAACAATTTAAAATAACAATTCAAAATAACATTTCGATCACTATACAGGGCTATTTTTCATAGAGTAGATAGCCAATTTTTATACTTAAGTTCATATTATATAAATAATGATATACCGTTATTGCAATTTTTGAAAATACGAGTAAATAAGGCTTCTACTTTTATTTGAAATTCTCCCAAATTGACTGTGATTTATGGGCAACAACGTTTTTGCCTATAAATCGACCCTTACGAATGTGTGCGTGCGCAGTAAAACTATTTAAAATAATGCACACCACGCATTTTGAATTTAAAAGATAAAAACATAGTACATAGTGTTTGAGATGTTTTTAAACTAGTTTTTCATCATCATTTGCCTATATTAATTATTCTGAACCTTCTCTGCAAATTTGGCCGGTTTTTGGAAAATGTATTACCCCACCGAAACATCCAGAATATTCCAGCAAATTCGGGCGTCGACCGACCAGGCGCAGAAAATTCGAGAGTGGACCCTTCTAGAAAACTTAATTCTTCTGTTCGATACTAGATGGCGATGTTGGTGGAAAGTTCGAGATTGGCATTTTCTAGGAAGCCCTCGCTCTGTTCCCCGCCACTAGATGGCGCTAGTGTCAGATACCAGACATCAACTTAGGCGCGCAACAATATTATATAGATATTTTTGGATAATTGCATACACACATCACAAATAGAAGAGTATTTCTCAATAACTGTGTATGTTTAGGCGGCGGCGAAGCAGCGTGCGGGCAGGGCGGGCCGCACCGGGCCCGGCAAGTGCTACCGGCTGTACACGGAACGCGCCTACCGCGACGAGATGCTGCCCACGCCTGTGCCCGAGATACAGCGCACCAACCTCGCCACCACCGTACGTACACTGCGGTCTGCAGATCCAAACATCGCCATTATCACTAGCCGATACACCATACCGGTCACTCGTAAACATTTGCCAGCTACGAACAATTCTCTTTTCCTATTTTACGTGGTGGAGCCATGGGTCTACTCGACAGGAGAAGGACCACACTCTCACAGAATACAAGCGTAAAATAGTAGCTTAACGCTACTGTGTTTCGTATGGTGAGTGTAGAGAACCGGAGGCCCTTGTCCTAGATACGAGGCATTCCATCTTAGTCGGGTTAAAACGCATCTGCATTTTGGTCCGTAATCGAGGATCGATGTAGATGTCTATGGGCCACAGCAACCACCTATCATCAAGTGCCTTGTGTGCTCGTTTGTCATCCTTATCCTATAAAAAAAACTTGTTCAGTGCGTGATTCGACCCGCGGCCTTCAGCGTCGCAACTTAATGCTAAAAGTCATTTATATTTGTGAGAACTGAGAACTTGAAATTCCTTATACAATTTTAAATTAGAGTCTCAACCTCAACAGGTGTTGCAGCTGAAAACCATGGGTATAAACGATCTGCTACACTTTGACTTCATGGACGCGCCGCCTGTGGAGTCCCTCATTATGGCACTGGAACAGTTGCACTCACTGTCGGCCTTGGACTCCGAGGGACTGCTTACAAGGCTAGGTCGTAGGGTGAGTGTTCGCTTTTGAATTAAAAACTTTTGGTAAATCCAAATGTGCGTGCCTTAAGCGCTCTTGTTATACGTCAAGTTTTTAAAGTATTAATACACACAAGTTTTCACGAATAACATTGTTACTATCACTTCTAATTTTGCGATAATTTTATGTCAAACGTCAATAAAAAAGTTTTAAAAATCCAAAATTGCACGACTCATAATGCTCATATGATCGTGAAAAAAAGTAAAAAATTCTTAATCAAAAATAGAAAATATTTTTTTAATAATACTATTCATAATAATAATATTATTGCTATTGAGATTTAAGAAATATTATTGTTAATTAAAAAAAACTTTTAACAGAATTATCTTAAAACAATTCAGTAACAACAACATAGACCATCATATCAAAAACTAGTCTTTTTTACTGACTCGTTGATTATTTTCTTTTCTCATCATCTTTATTTCGTTTTCAAAAAGTTTTTCATCTAGTCATAACCAGTATTTTAATTTAGCATACACCAAAGTACACCTTCAGGTCACTCCATAAAGTCCAAGACGTATAAGTATATTTATATATAAATCCTACGTACTTTTAGCGACACAATATATTTTAAGGAAAATCTGTGATTATAAAAATAATAATAAAACAACCTTGGTCAAGTGTGTCTCACAGTGTGTATCACATTTAGTTTTTGGTATTTCTACAGCGATCGATATTATTTATCATGAGCCACTATAATAAACAAACGATACAGTAATCCACTCACGACGGCGGCCGAGCCCCTAGTGAGTCAAAGTGTAACTATATTTAGTAAAATATTTTATTACAAGGCTGCGCAAACACCTAAAATTTCGGATATTTTCAGTCGAAAAATAATTAATTATAACTAAATAAAATTAAATTAAACAGCCATTTACATACATTGCATGGCTTACCACATGATAGAAGAATAGATTAAAAAATAGATTGAGTTGAACAATTGACATTTTTTAAAGTTGTCGTGTTTACCCTCCGTACTGACGTGATAAATCTACGCCATGAGCCACTAAAACCACTTTTTTAATGTAAAAATAGCAATTAATTAATTTAAAAAAATAAGTCCTACAATCAAAAATCAAAAAGGTTTTATCTTTCTGACAATGTGATTTTTATAATTTATATGTTTAAAATGATTATTAGAGACGATTTCATGCGACAAGATGTTTGATTTTTGATTTTTAGGCACTAGTAGAATACATACCGCAAGTACTTTACTCACTTTGCGCTTAAGGCATGCAATATTCTTTTTCCTGTAAATTTATGTATTGAGCTCATACAACTTTGAACAAAAACACATTAAAATTTATTCATATACAGAAGTTTAAGAGTATATTCAAATAAAAATTTATTGTGTATTAAAAATCTTATGTCTCATGGTTTAAAAATGTGATCACATAAAAACAAACTGTACAGCCTTATTTCAAATGAAAATTTGTTCAAAGAACAGTTTTGTGTTGTTTTTGTTTCTATTTCTAAAATTCTGATATATATATATATATATATATATATATATATATATATATATATATATATATAATTATATATTTTTTTTGTTTTACACACTAAGAATTTTCAATCCGTAATGATTTTATACTATAGCATAATGAATTTCTACGAATATTTCTTACAGATGGCAGAATTTCCCCTTGAACCCAACCTATCGAAAATACTCATCATGTCAGTAGCTCTTCAATGCTCAGACGAAATCTTAACAATTGTGTCAATGCTGAGTGTTCAGAATGTATTCTACAGACCGAAAGACAAACAAGCGCTTGCTGACCAAAAGAAAGCCAAGTTCAATCAACCGGAGGGTGACCATCTGACTTTACTCGCAGTTTATAACAGCTGGAGGAACAATAAATTTTCAAACGCCTGGTGCTATGAAAACTTCGTTCAAATACGCACGTTAAAGCGTGCCCAAGATGTCAGGAAGCAACTGCTTGGGATCATGGACAGGTATATTTTCTTACTAATTATGAATGTTTTAATTAATATATATATCTGTCATCGACGTTACCACATACAAATTTTGTAGTCTGTCATCGATGTTACCACGTGTGGACTAGTATTCTATTCATTTACTTGCCATGTGGTATCGGCATACACTTGTTGACCATTATTCTATTCATTTATTTGCCATGTGATAGCGGCGTTCACGTGTTGACCATTATTCTATTTATTTATTTGCCATGTGGTAGCGGCGTTCACGTGTTGACCATTATTCTATTCATTTATTTGCCATGTGGTAGCGGCGTTCACGTGTTGACCATTATTCTATTCATTTATTTGCTATATGGTAATATTTATTTATATAGTAGTATTTCGTCCCGTGGGTGTTGTAAGAGGCGACTATAGCATGAAAATTCCCATGGCTTTTCTAACCAATATTTTTTTATCCAACGCTTACGTTGGAAAAAAAAATACTGGTGTAGGGCAGCAGCATCAAAGGTACCAGACTGCGATCATGAATCCGTTTGTCAAGTGTAATTTTTACGAAATAATGAAGAAAACGAACTAGCCTTTCCGAGAATGCATCATTTAACATGTACAGTTTGGAAAAAAGGTACTCACTATGCTAGGGTAGCTGGTTGGTGACTGCAGGGCCGATAACACTTTACATTTACAACAAAATCCCAGATAATGTCCAAAATTTGTCATTAAACAAGTTTAAATGTTTTATTAAAGAAAAAAATTGTACAAAAAGGGTTATTATAATATCAAATGAGGTGAATGAGGTGATCGCCACCATGCTGGTTCTATAAATATTAATTCAAAAATTATACAAAATAAATTATGTTAAAGTGAAATATGTTTAAAAAAAGTCCCGCTAGGTTCCTTGCTAGTTCTTCCCAGTGCAGAGGTTTTTTCCGAACCAGTGGTAAATAAAAAATGACTTTCAATAAGTACTATGCAATATCCTATATTAAATATTCATTTCATTGGTTATTCATCTGTCCATCAACAATTTGTTTAACTATTAAATTATGTGGAAATAATTTTATGATAAAATTTATATTTTTTATATCTCTTAAGAGTTTTTGAAGTTGGTTTTAATTTTTAATTAATTAAGTTTTCACATATTTTTATTTTTTATTATTTTATCTAGTAATATTTAAAGACATATGGGCTTAGTTGAGGAAAATTGGCCCTTAAATTCATCCGCCTGGGTCTTGCTTACATATTTTCTAAATATTATAATGATTGTATTTTGTAGGCACAAGTTAGATGTTGTGTCAGCGGGTAAGAATACAGTGCGGGTCCAGAAGACTATCTGTTCAGGCTTCTTCAGGAATGCGGCTAAGAAAGACCCGCAGGAGGGCTACAGGACTCTCGTAGACAGCCAAGTTGTGTACATCCATCCATCAAGTGCATTGTTCAACAGGCAGCCAGAATGGTAATTTAATACAATTTTTGCTTTTAGCTCAGTTATTTTAGCTCAGTGGTTTTTTTTTTAAATGCCTAAAATTTTGCATTGAAATTAACAACATATATCTAATATGTAATTTGAATGTTTATTGTATGTAATTTCCACAGGGTAATCTACCACGAGTTGGTCCAAACAACAAAGGAGTACATGCGTGAAGTTACTACAATAGATCCCAAATGGCTTGTTGAATTTGCTCCGGCCTTCTTCAAATTCTCTGATCCTACTAAGCTATCTAAATTTAAGAAGAACCAAAGACTCGAACCTCTTTATAACAAGTATGAGGAACCGAACGCTTGGCGAATATCGAGGGTCAGAAGAAGAAGAAATTAATTGTGTTTGCATTGATTTTAGAACACAATTTGTGTTGTAATATTTTATGTATAATAATAATAAAAGGCCCGTTGCGCTGCGAAATCAACACTTTGTTTTATTTCAATTTTTTAAGGATATCATAGCAGTAGGTAGGCACTTCCTAACATGAGAGATCTATTTTACCAAAAATCATCTGAATGGCATCATACCTTTACCTATTTCTGCTGCAAAATACAGTGAGTAGGAAATTATAGAGACATCTCATTTTTGCGTTCCGTGTGGTTTACTCTTTTTTTTTGCTTGTTTATTGGTCTCTTGATGCTATTCGGCAAATTATTTATTAAACATTAAAATGAGACCATTTTTTGCCTGATAAGATAACCTTTTTATTAATTAGAAGTGGGCGCCAAAAGGAGATTTTCCACGTCGAGGTCGTACGCGGAAGAAAACTCCTTGTGAAACGTACAATGGTGGACCGCCTGGCATCCAGATGGTGTGGATGGTATCGGGACTTTTGCCGCGTAGTGCGTTCACGAAATTTGGCGGCTGGGATTAATCCGAACAATTCTTCAGAGCACTCCCCATGATATATGTGAAAGAAAATGCAAAGAGATGCAACATCTCTTCGCAGCGCCAGTGAATCGAGCCGATCGGAAAGCACTCGGTCGTCGACGATTCGAGCGGCTCAGCGCTGGATGCGGTCAATTGGAAGAAGCTGGTACTGGGGAGCTCCAGCCCAGAGATGGGAACAGTATTCCATGTGCCTTTAAAATTATTGTAGTTTTAACATTTTTGACTGCCTTCTTGGTCGTAAACGCAATTGCTGATTGAATTTTAATTGCATGTGGTCCCGGGTTCATAACCCGAGTCGGGCCAAGAATAATTTATTGGGTTCTTATGTCACAAAAATCTCAGTAGCAGCCCGGAAAGCCTCGAAAGCCGGGTAAAAAGCCCACATGTGCGAGAGAGAAGACTAATCACTCAAATCAACTCCTTGCTTTCATTAATTTTGACAGTCCATTGCGTGTTCGTTTTGAGATAGAGAGAACACGAATCACTGTATTTTGAATTGAAAGCAAACTGCCAAGTGTTGACGTTACATGACGGTCATGAACTGTGTAGATCAGAGGAGCGCGCGGGAAATTTGAAATAGTTTGAAACAATTTTGAACGAGTTATTTTATTAGTTGATATTATTGATTGAGCAGTTTGAAAGGGCAAACCTGACTTTTTGGCTTCTATGGAGGCTTCGCCACTGTGGACACTGATTGGATCCAGTGTTCGACACTTTATTCTTTACTGGTACATGAACTCCAATCAATTTAATTTTAACACACATTAACTGCATAAAAAAGAGCTAAAATCGTGTGCCAACTCAAGAAGTTTCTAAAAACATAATTATGGACACTTGTCGATTACTGGACAAAGTCTATATTAGAAACAGTAAATGACAACGGCTGTTACCTTAAAAAACTACGTTAATAACAAATTATTTCTATCATTTTAATATTACGCTAAGAAATTAATTATATTTCAGCAACAAATAATTGAGGTAAGTATACACTCACTCTCTTAATGATTTTGTAAGTAAAATTAGATTCTTCTCCACGAGCACCAATATCGTTCAATGTTTACCTCGCCATCTTGAAATTAAATTGCCCATAGCAGTGACGTATTTTGTGACAATTGGAAGTCCGTTTTCTATGTTTAGGTGTTGTCATACCCAAATTTCAATCTGCAATGCTTGTTTTCTTTGAAAAAGCTAAAAATGTTCATCACTGGGTTCTTGTCCAACATTGGTATTTCCACCCTAGGTAGCAAAACTTTATACTAGAGTGCACACGCCCTTAAATACTCCTTGAGCACTCGCGATGATTGCGCGTGCTACGGTCGCGAGTCCTGCTGCAAAAAGCAAAATTTTCAAATAAAGGAATAACATTTCATAAATAAGTACTTAGTGTTTTAAATAACGTTGTGTTTTATGAAATATACTAAATAAAATTATTCACCTCCAGTACTACGATTGTCTCCGAAATTTTAATTGTTTTCACATTTCAATATCCATTGATTCCTAAGCTATAATCATATCATAGTTCATGCCTACGAGTGCGACAGCTAAAATCAGCGATGGATTTATAGTATGGGCAATAAACAAAATTGTTACGTACGTAAATTTCCCAGAACATGGCCGTAGGAGTGGAATGCGAGTCAGTTACGTGAAACTACTATTTTGTATCGATTATTTACCTTCTGTGTACTAAATATCGGGAATTTGGCAATAAAACAAAAAATACAAATTATTCATCTAAATTTATTTTATCGCCTTCAAAGTAGGCCCCATCGCTTGCAATACAACATCTCCAACGCTTCACCCAGTCTTCCATACATTTTTCATAGGCTATTTGCGGTATGGCCTTTAGCTCATTCAGCGAATTTTTTGTTATGGCTTCTATCGACTCAAAACGTTTTCCTCGAAGTGGTAATTTTAACGTGGGAAATAAAAAAAGTCAGACGGAGCCATATAAGGTGAATACGGTGCTTGGTCGAGAACTTTTGTGGAATTTTTCGCTAAAAACTCATTGACTATAATGGCTGTGTGTGATGGTGCATTATCATGGTGCAGCATCCATGAGTTGTGTTGCCACAAATCTGGACGTTTTCGGTGGATACTCTCACGCAAACGCTTCATGACGCCTAAATAATATTCTTTATTCACTGTTTCTCCCTTTGGAAGGAATTCGGAGTGAACCACACCACGGTAGTCAAAAAAAACTGTCAGCATCACCTTGATTTTGGAGCGAATTTGCCGCGGTTTTTTGGGTTTCGGCTCGTTTTCGAGACGCCATTCTGAAGACTGTTGGCTTGTTTGCATGTCGTACTCATAAACCCATGTCTCGTCGCCAGTTATTATACGTTTCATAAAGGTCGGATCCGTAGAAGCTCGGGAAACCATGTCTTCAGCGACATGCTTTCGCTGCGCTCTTTGAACAAAATTGAGCTCTTTTGGAACTAGTCGAGCGGCGACGCGTTTCATGCCTAAAATGTCAATGAGAATGTTGTGGACAGACTTAAAAGATATGTTCACCTCACTAGCCAACTCTCTCAGACTCATCATACGTCGATTTTCGAGCATTAGCTTCTTGATTTTGTCGATGTTTTCTTTGGTCGTAGCGGTTGAAGGTCTACCAGAACGAGGCAAGTCTACTACTACTTCTCGGCCTTCTTTAAAAGCCTTATACCATTCATAAGCCCTTGTTTTCGATATACACGATTCGCCGTAGGTATTTCGCAACTTTTTTAGTGATTCACCACATGAAATATCATTCGAAACACAAAATTTAAGGCACACTCTTTGTTCAACAATATTTTCCATTGTAAAAATCGCCGAGAACTCAAAACTATGACCAACAAAAAGTGTAGTTTAAAACAAATTAAATGACAGATTCCGCTCAAACTTTGCGCGCTAAATCAGTACAGTGCTACCAACATGCAGTAAAAAAATTAGAACGACCTCTTTTACGCGGGTCTTTTTATTGACATATTCCCGATACTTTTTACACAGAGTAGTATTATGTTTGGCTTACCTAGTTTTAACGAAACGGGAATTAAATGTGATTTTTCGTTGAATATTTATTTACACCTTTCTACTTTTGTTCTTTCTAAGTATTTTATACCGTTAACCGTTTATCGGCGATTATCTGTTTGTTTGTACTTTTAAATTACTTGATAAATTTTTAATCAGTTATATCTTAATTCAGCAAACAGCAAACAACAGAAAGTCAGTTACAGATCTTTAAAACTAATAAAAAATGATAAATATGTCACCCATACATATATTTATTCGTTTGCTGTTTGTGTAATTGTATTCATTTTATTTATGCATCTGTTTATTTAATACAATGCTTTTATTACAAGTTTCTAAAAGATCCGGTTATTAAAGATAAATGGATATATTTATTCTTAACGTATTATTATTAATTATAAAACGTCTAAAAGCTAAATCTAAGACTAAAAGCGTCTATTACTGAGACAATTTCAGTTAATTAGTTATATCTTGGTGTGAGACTCCTGGAAGATCAACGACGCTTAATAGAAAGTTATCGAAACGTGCGTTAGGCTGCACTATGCCCAAGTGAGAGCGAGCGCGCAATGTCATTCTCTGTTTTTCGCACACTTTATTATTGGACCGAGTGGCTACGCCTCCTGAGATTTTGTGTTTTTATAAAATATTCCTTAACGCAATAGTTTGTAGATTAATCTTTGTTCCATGAATGCTAGAGATATTTCTAGGCGTAATGGTGTGTTTATTGTTTGTCTATGTGTGAGAGCTACGACAACTTGTTCTTGCAACTTGTTCTATCACCGAGAGAGCGACCATCTGTCCCAAGGAGGTGTCGGATTTATCGTCCACTAGTCTCTCGTCAACAACGTTGTAAAGATTGAGAATGTGTCGACGAGGGTCACGTACCTGATACTCAGAATCAAACGGTATTCGCTGAAGGTCATACAGGTTTACGCACCAACCTCGGCACATCCCGATGAGGAGGTGGAGGAAATGTATGAGGATATTTCTAGAGCCATGCATTCCGCCAAAACCCACTATACGGTGTTGATGGAAGACTTCAACGCAAAACTAGGCACAAAAGAAAGCAGTGAGCTGAAGTTAGGGAAATTTGGAGTAGGGCAACGGAACCGTAAGGGCCAGCAGCTGGCCAACTTTATGGAGAAAGAGGGACTTTTTATGATGAACTCTTTCTTCCAGAAGCGGCCCCACAGGAAGTGGACCTGGTCAAGCCCGGACGGTTCGACAAAAATGAGATTGACTTCATTATGATGACCAGACGCCAACTGTTCAGTGATCGCGAGGGTGAAAACTGACAGCGATCACCAAATGGTTAGAGGTACACTGAACTTAACCCGAAGAGTACATTCTGCCACCGAAGAGTACAATCTGCCACTTTGCCTGGCATATGTGGACTATGAGAAAGCCTTTGATTCCGTCGAAATTTGGGCGGTGCTACAGTCCCTTCAGCGGTGCCAAGTTGACTGTCGGTACATCGAAGTGCTGAAGTGTTTGTACAGTAGGGCTACGATGGCTATCCGAGTACAGAACCAGAGTTCGAAACCTATCCAACTGCAGAGAGGTGTAAGACAGGGTGATGTTATATCCCCGAAACTCTTCACCGCTGCGTTGGAAGACGTTTTCAAGCTACTGGACTGGAAAGGATACGGTATTAACATCAATGGCGAGTACATCACTCACCTTCGATTTGCCGACGATATAGTCATTATGGCAGAATCGCTGGAGGACTTAAGCATTATGCTCAATGACCTCAATAGTGCCTCCCAACGGATAGGTCTTAAGATGAACATGGACAAAACAAAGATCATGTTTAATGTCCATGTCACACCTATGCCGGTAGTTGTTGGGAGCACTATGCTCGAAGTTGTTGACGAGTACGTTTACCAGGGACAAATAGTCCGACTAGGTAAGTCCAACTTCGACCGAGAGGTCAATCGACGGATTCAACTCGGCTGGGCAGCGTTCGGGAAATTACGACATATCTTTTCGTCAGGTATACCTCAATCTCTAAAAACTAGATTGTACAACCAGTGCGTGTTGCCAGTGATGACTTACGGATCTGAGACGTGGTCCTTCACTGCTGGCCGTATGAGGACGCTTAAGGTCGCTCAGCGAGCTATGGAGAGGGCTATGCTTGGAGTTTCTCTGCGTGATAGACTCAGAAATGAGGATATCCGCAGTAAAACCAGAGTGGTCGACATAGCCCAACGGATTAGTAAGCTGAAGTGGCAATGGGCCGGCCATATAGCTCGAAGAACCGATAACCGATGGGGAAGAAAGGTTCTCGAGTGGCAGCCTCGTACCGGTAGGCGTAGTGTAGGGCGACCCCCCACTAGATGGAGTGACGACCTGGTAAGACATGCAGGAAGTCGATGGATGCAGGTGGCTCAGGACCGTGCTTTGTGGCATTACTTGGGGGAGGCCTATGTTCAGCAGTGGACTTGTGAAGGGCTGTAATGATGATGATGATGAATGATGACACTGAACTTTAAAAGCGTTAGGTTGGAGAGCTCTCGTCTAGTGAAGTCAACGCTCAGGCCCCCTCGTGCGCTAATCCAAGGTCCCGAAAACTTTCAGCTCGAATTACAAAACCGTTTTCAGAGCCTAAAATACTGTAATACAATGAACGATATGAATGATAAGCTCGTAGAAACTGTCCATGTGGTCGAAGCTAAGTTCTGCAAGTCCCGCCGCAGAAGAAAACAAAAACTCTCCGATCACACTCTTAATCTCATGGATGTTAGACGGGTGATGAAGCTGCAGTCGTCAACAGATTTGAATGAATGAATGAGTGAATGAATTTACACCACAAACAAATGTATAAAGAACATAACAAAGAGCAGATAACATGTACAATTTGGCGGCCTTATCGCTACATAGCGATCTCTTCCAGGCTACCAAAGGCGTAAAGGAATAAAACAGTGAATACTTGGTAGGTGGTACAATATAAATTTACATAATATAATATATTCCTCAAACAATCACAGAAACCAAACTCAATAACATAAACCAAATAAATACAAAAACTACATAATCTTATCCTAACGATGTCCAAACGATTGAGACAAGTAATGCTCTTTAAGATGTCGCTTAAAGACTACAATAGTTTGTGCTTCTTCAGATTTGACAGCATACAGGCAACTGAACAGACAGATCTCCAAATTCATGCGGCAGGACTTACGCAATTTCAATAGAGCTCGTATTGGAGAAGCGATTTAGCTGAACCAAGGCCCCAAAGTCTTTGCCAGAGATCTGTCTGCCAGTAAGAGGCAACTGTCAAAGCTGAAGACTGAGTGTGGCAGCATCGTTTCCGGGACACCTGAGATTCTTAGTGAGATTGGGAGGTTCTATGGGCAGCTGTACACATCATCGTTGGAGCCACACGCAAGCGTGAGTAACGATCCAAGAGCAAGTCTTATCCGACACTATTCTGATGATATCCCGGACGTCAGTCTGAGCGAGATTAAATGGCTCTCCAGCACCTTAAAAACGGCAGGGCCCCAGGCGAGAATGCAATTATAGCGGAGCTTCTGAAAGCGGGTGGAACACTGGTACTTAAAGTCCTTCAGAAGCTCTTCAATTCCGTCCTCACTACTCCGTGGCACTACTCCGTGGCACTACTCCGGAGGCGTGGAGCAGAAGTGCGGTGGTCTTGTTCTTTAAGAAAGGCGACAACGCTCTCTTGAAGAACTACAGACCGATTTCCCTTCTGAGTCGCGTCTACGTGCTGTTTTCGAGAGTCATTACGAATCATCTCGCACGCAGACTTGACGACTTCTAGCCTCCCGAACAAGCCGGTTTCCGAAAAGGCTTCAGTACCATAGACCACATACATACCCTGCGGCAGATTTACTGAAGACCGAAGAGTACAATCTGCCACTTTGCCTGGTGTATGTGGACTATGAGAAAGCCTTTGATTCCGTCGAAATTTGGGCGTTGCTACAGTCCCTCCAGCGGTGCCAAGTTGACTGTCGGTATATCGAAGTGCTGAAGTGTTTGTACAGTAGGGCTACGATGGCTATCCGAGTACAGAACCAGAGTACGAAACCTATCCAACTGCAGAGAGGTGTAAGACAGGGTGACGTTGTTTCCCCGAAACTCTTCACCGCTGCATTGGAAGACGTTGTCAAGCTACTGGACTGGAAAGGATCGATAAGCGATTAACTCTTTCGAAACGTTTAATTAACCTGATAACAAACTAAATCGTGAATAACCATACACATTACACGAGCAAAAGAATGACGGAACAGATTGAAATTTGTCAAACAGTGTTGCCTGACAGCTGAAACGACGCGGTGATTCTCCGATCAAAGACAATTAAAACTTGGTCTTACTCTCTCTATGTCTATGGTCTGACTTTGGTGTTCGGATCATGAAGGTTAGAGAACAGGAGAACGATCACTACGTACTAAAGCATAGCCCGCCTGTCCTTGAAAATTGTAGAATACATAGCGGCGCTGACGTCGGTGAGTAGTGACTGCGAAGTTAGCTGTTTATGAGTACACGTAGGTGAAGTTAGTCGAATAATGTACAAATTTTCATTTCATTTTTTCGTACAAAATTTTCATGATCCGTAATTTTTGACAAAAAAAAGAAACATTAAAAATGGAGAAATATTTTATTGTGCGTGGATGTGGAAGTGATTGAGCATCTGATCGGAAAAATAGACTGAAAATGACTTTTATTGACTGCACTTAGTGATCGCAGTGCCTCACTGATGGTGTCCATATTTCTGGGACACTATTTTCTGAGGCGTACGTTCTCCTGTTCTCTAACCTTCATGGTTCGTATACAAGAATCAAAGAGAATATAATCACTACGCTTAACACGAATAATAAAACAAAAGTGAGTCCAAAAGTAATCGGTTTTAGTAAAAAGAAACCGGTGTTTATCGGTTATTTAAAAAACCGGTTTTATTTAGGTTTCTTTATAACCGGTTCACATCACTACCTGTATATAACCACCATAGATTACTGACTATGTACTAGAGAATAACCACAATATATAACCTAGGAAAAGTATTGTATGTTGTATGTGAAAAATATGAATTTGTGAAAATTCTAAAATTAAGTGTATTCTAAGGAACTACTTGACATGGATTTCCTTTCTGAAATAATAGGTGAAACTGTAATCCTTGGAATCGATTCCCTAATTTTGGGTTTTTGTGTCAAACAGCTGAGCAAATGTAAACATATCTTGAATGCTTTGCAGGTTATATTTTTAATTTAATTTAGGTTGTTAAATGCGATTTACTAAAAAATTTTGTTCAGTATTCATTCATAATTTTTATATATTACAGTATATATATTTTTCTCACTTTTTAATTCGTAGGCATTCAGGCTCAACTATACAAAATCTACAATCGATTTGAAGGTTCAAACCTTTATGAGGGAATAGATTTTATTTTTTATTCTAATCATAACATAAATGAGCGGTTTTCGTTGCAGGCCATGGGTTGGAATACTTCATGGCCAAAAATTATTGTGTAACCTACAAGTAAATGTTCCGAGTCTGGATGTTATCTATATCAAAATTATGTTTGTTAAAGACTCCACAATACAGGACAAATTCTTATTGTGACATGAGGTTTTTATCTTATATTTTTTTATTTCAGACAGCTCCAATTCTAGATATTGATTCTTCATTGAATAAGGAGATCAACAAATATCCCAATAATACTATACCATATGTTGTGATAAGAGGACTTGTCAAACCCCTCGGTAAACCCATTGTCAGCAACTACAATAACAAGGTGACAGGAGTTGTACAGAGGTATGACTTAAACATTTTGTAAATATTACAACAAAAAACAGTACACAATTTGCTACAAAATTTTATGGTTTTTATAATTACATTACATATTGATATTATGTGTCAATCAATTCTAAATAAACCTGAAGAGAAATTTCAAATATGATTATAAATACCTGCCTTAAATTAAGGTAATCTTCAACAGTGATATAATATTGACATTCACTATAATATTCTTTCTGTGTGTTTGACTGTTCGAACACAAAACTACTTGCCCTTAGTTGCACAGATCAATTTGGTACTTGGAATTAAAAGAATAAAATAATTTCTACATAATACCTTATGTGGTTTGTGCTAAGACAGTGTTTAGAAGAATTAATATTGGATCTAGCCCCAACATCGGAAGCTTATATGTGGAAATTATTTTTATTTATTCTTTTAGTAAATTGAAGTCAGCTACTTTCTTATCATATTGAGTAAACTAAGGAATGTCACAAGGTAAAGGTAACACCTAGAAAGAGGTACATAATATATATGTTCCAATTGAAAAATATATATAATATAAAATAGATATAGTTTGATATACTTTTTTTTCTGTTTCATAATGTAAACATAATTTATTAAACTATTAAATTCATTAGTATTGGTGGAGATTGAACCAGGGTTTCTCGTGTTTACAGCAAGCACTTCAACTTTGAGCTACCATGGCTCTTATATATTTTTTTGTTTTATAATAATGTTACCTCCACACTAGGAATTTTCTTAACTATATTGTGGGGACAGTTAACATAAGTACATAAATTTCACAAAGATAAACATCCAGATACAGAACAATTATTTATAGGCCATAGGTACAAATTTTTGTGCTGTGAGGGATTTAAATCCACGACCCTCAGCGCTACAATTCATTTCTAAGCCACTTCGCCATGAAGGTGTCAAATATATCTTTTATAGTGATAAATATTATAGTTATAAATTATATAAATAAACATATGAAATTATTAATAATTAAATAAATAATACCATTCACTGATCAGGATCTCACTTTCATTCATTTACTTACATTACATTACATTAGTGCGCTCCGGGTCTTCCCAACGATAGGACCAATGATAATATACTATATAGGGCATAGATGAGCCACTCTAACAAATTATTTGTTGACGAAACGAGGAAAGTTTCTCCTTTCCTCAAATAGATGGCGTTGGGATTATAAATGATCGAAAAATACACTAGAGGGCGCTATCAACTTGTTTCCGTATTATTTATTATGTTTAGTAAATAATAGGTAATGTTAATAGTTAAAAAATAATTAATTAATAATCACAATCTGAAATTCTCGCTGAGATCGAAGGCTTCTACGGTACACTATATGCCTCCCAGAATCCGTAACCTGACCCCAAATACGACGATCCCAGAGCCACACTAACTCGCTACTTTACCGACGAGCTGCCAGATATCTGTCTAGAGGAGATCGAGTTGGCCCTCGGGCAACTTAAAAATAGAAAAGCCTCTGGAAAGTACGGAGTTACAACAGAGCTCTCGAAATCGGGGGGACAACCGTTGCTTAAAAAGCTCTGTCGAATTTTTAACTGCGTTTTACAAGATGGGAGAACTCTAATGGCGTAAAGCAGAAGCATCACAGTCTTGTTTTTCAAGAAAGGGGACAATACAATTGTTCTAAAACTACCTATTACATCACTGGCAACTTCAGAACCAGAAATTCTCACTGTCATCCGTTTCGGTAAACCTGTATCCAAAATTGAAAGGCCGCGTCCAATCATGGTAGTCCTGGCCAATAAATATAAAGCTATAAATGTTCTGAAAAATAAAGGTAAGCTTCCAAATTCTGTTAAGGTAAAGGCTGACATGACACCATATCAAAGAGATCAACTTAGGAGACTTCGTGAAGAACTAGCGGCTAGAATAGAAAAAGGTGAGCAAAATCTTACGATCAAATATATCAATAACATACCAAAGATTATAATAACTACAAAAAACTAGCACATCATAATATCACAGAACTCCGCATACTATACATGAATTTGGCTTCCATTATGGCAAAATTTGATTTATTTCTTGAAGTTAATACACATAAACCTGCTTTTATTTTGACATCAGAAACTCATTTACATTCTGGAATTGATGACAGCCTTATAAATATAAACGGATATACCCTCTTCCGGTTGGACAGAAGAGAAAGAAAAGGGGCAGGAGTAGCAATGTATGTTGCACATGACGTTAACAATGTACCTGTTATATCAAAAGCGAATAAAATATATTATAATTCTATAAATTCTATCTATAAAATACATATTTGTGTGTATCGTCCTCCCTCAAATGTTTTAACAAGTGCTGATGAAATATTATTTAACACCATAGAAAAGGTAGCCTCAAAGCAGACAGTGATTATTGCAGGTGATTTCAACTTACCAAATATAAAATCTTTTATCAGATAGCCCGCTTTCCAAGAGTAATCGGTGCAATGGATTGCACACATATTCGAATTGCCTCTGTTCCATTACGGTTACAAGTAGGTGGTGAACAAGCAGAATTATTCCGTAACAGAATAGGATATTTCTCTATAAATGTGCAGACAATCTGCAATGCTAATCTTGAGATTATAGATATAATAGCTAGATGGCCTGGATCATCTCATCATAGCAACATATTTAACAATAGTTACAGGAAAGCACAATTTGAATATGGTACATATGGCAATGCAGTATTGGTAGTAGATGGGGGATATACATCAACCTCATACATGATGCCACCTTTAGAGAATTCCAGTGGACCAGTGGCACAGCTCTACAATCAATCACAAATCAGGACACGAAATCCTGTGGAACGCAGCTATGGATTATGGAAGAGGCGCTTTCCTGTGCTTGCGTTTGGAATGCATATAAAACTGGAAAGAATTCTGAATGTTATCATTGCTATAGCTGTTTTGCACAACATTTTGAGACGTCGAGGAGAACAAGTACCCCCAGATAATGCAGAAATTATCCCCCCTGCCCCCTGGAATGAAATTATAAATGATGGACAGATACCCTCTGTTGTGGATGCAGGATCTACCCAAGAATATAGGGCACGAGATGCACTAATATCAGATTATTTATTGTGAAAATTTTTTGTTACTATTGGTTTTAGTTTGAATTAAGGGTGTTTTTTATTACTAACATGTGTCCATTCTTTTAGCCCGGCCACCATTAAAACCAAACTGTGTGGTGTGAAAGACTGACTATCTTGAGACCGTTATAGGCAGTTTTTATACAGTTTATCACACCGGCAAAATTATGGGTTTTGAAGGTGGGTAGGCCAAAGGAACGGACACTACTAACATAGTATGTAAGTTTATTGTTACCAAAAAAATAAATGTTATTAAAAGCTATAAATACAAGCTAATCATGGCATGTTGTATATTTTTATTAATTATTTGAATTATTTAGTTTTAGCGACGCATACACACACCAACAGTCATTGACATTTATCAAATAGGAAATTATTAGTAGTATATAAGGTAGGAAATTAATTATTACATTTCTTCTGAATTTTCCTTGTTCTCTTCTTGATATTCACTCTGTTTTTGTCTTAACTCCAACAATAACAGCTCGGTTTTAATTTTTTCCTGTTTTAAAATTTCTTTTTTAATATCAAGTTCTATTTGCGCAATTAGTTTTTTTTTGGTCTGCCTCTTCCGCAGCTATATTTTTTTGCAAATTTATTGCTTCAATTTTATTCTCGTGGAGCATTTCTAGCGATTTTGTTGTGGAATTATGTTCAGGTCTTCTCCTTGATATCCCATTTTTTTGTCACTAGCTGTTATTAGTTACTAAGGACTCCTGTATCTGTCAGTGAGGCAGATACAGGAGTCCTTAGTAACTGAGGACTATAATCACCCCAATCTTGCTGTACAGACAATGGAGTCCATGAATCCTAAAAGGAAATAAGTAAAATATTTAATTATTATCAGCATCACACACACATATCTTTAGCCTATGGTCCACTGCTAGACAGGCTTTAGGCTAAATCATCATCATCATATCGTGTGGGACAGCGAGTCGACGAACGACCCGATGAACCCTGGTGTCAGAGTTATACAACCACCAGTTGACTAGTAGACCTCTGACATGGTTGTGTAACGTAACGCATAGAACAACCATAAAGTTCTGAGACCATTTCAACAGGCTACAAATTTTATCAAAATTAGTTCAGCCTGGGTCATTAGCAGGTCGTCCCATTTGCAACTCGTTCCACTTAAGAATCTTGTCCCATTTGCAACTCGTCCCATCAATATAGAACATAAAACAACCATAAAGTCCAACCGTAAAGAACAATAATTTTAATGTCAATTTGTAAGTAATATCCTTAAGTATTAGGACAGTATTAAAAAATTTAGTATCAATGTGCTAGTTTTTGAAGTATGTTAAGAAAAATAAAAAAAATTGTCAATTTTTTTACTTAAATTAGCATTATGATTTCTTATATTTACGCGAACACTATACATTGATTAAAACTACTTTTACGGATTTTACGCGTTTTATTTATATTAATTTTAATACCCGACGTTTCCTGATGTCAAAGTTAACCTGGAGTACCTTCAGATTTTTAATTATTGTCTTTGGTCCGATCTACGCAGAATGAACTAACTGTATTTTGAAGTCTTGCAGTGGTATGCTTGAGTTTAGTTTTAATTTTATTAATTATAGGATCATACTACCACCTGCTTGGGATATACACAATATGTAACATAATTAACGCACACCCTCAGACACCCCAATTAGTATATTATGTTATAATCATAATAAATACACTAAATCTTTAGTTAAACATTTTTATGCCCTGATTATTTATCAAATTAGTTATACTAATTCCGGAAAAATGTTGTGGTCACAGTACAAATCCACGAACGCAAAGACTTTAACATGCTTGAAATAAAGTTCATTTTTCAAAATAAAACTGCACTCTTTAAAAGTCTTATTGCCTTAAGTTACGGTCCATTTCAGTTTGTTTTGACTACA